CTGTGCCAGAGTTGAGTATCTATGTTCAGTTGTTTTCTCGCCATTGTCTGTGCACTGTGCCAGAGTTGAGTATCTATGTTCAGTTGTTTTCTCGCCATTGTCACTGTGTGCCAGAGTTGAGTATCTATGTTCATCTATGTTGCCAGTTGTTTTCTCGCCATTGTCTGTGTACTGTGCCAGAGTTGAGTATCTATGTTCAGTTGTTTTCTCGCCATTGTCTGTGCACTGTGCCAGAGTTGAGTATCTATGTTCAGTTGTTTTCTCGCCATTGTCTGTGTACTGTGCCAGAGTTGAGTATCTATGTTCAGTTGTTTTCTCGCCATTGTCTGTGCACTGTGCCAGAGTTGAGTATCTATGTTCAGTTGTTTTCTCGCCATTGTCTGTGCACTGTGCCAGAGTTGAGTATCTATGTTCAGTTGTTTTCTCGCCATTGTCTGTGTACTGTGCCAGAGTTGAGTATCTATGTTCAGTTGTTTTCTCGCCATTGTCTGTGTACTGTGCCAGAGTTGAGTATCTATGTTCAGTTGTTTCTCGCCATTGTCTGTGTACTGTGCCAGAGTTGAGTATCTATGTTCAGTTGTTTTCTCGCCATTGTCTGTGCACTGTGCCAGAGTTGAGTATCTATGTTCAGTTGTTTTCTCGCCATTGTCTGTGCACTGTGCCAGAGTTGAGTATCTATGTTCAGTTGTTTTCTCGCCATTGTCTGTGTACTGTGCCAGAGTTGAGTATCTATGTTCAGTTGTTTTCTCGCCATTGTCTGTGCACTGTGCCAGAGTTGAGTATCTATGTTCAGTTGTTTTCTCGCCATTGTCTGTGCACTGTGCCAGAGTTGAGTATCTATGTTCAGTTGTTTTCTCGCCATTGTCTGTGCACTGTGCCAGAGTTGAGTATCTATGTTCAGTTGTTTTCTCGCCATTGTCTGTGCACTGTGCCAGAGTTGAGTATCTATGTTCAGTTGTTTTCTCGCCATTGTTTCCATGCTGTGCCAGAGTTGAGTATCTATGTTCAGTTGTTTTTCGCCATTGTACACATACTCCCTGGTTTATACCAACACCCTGATTTACAGATACTCCTTATTTTACACCCGTACCATGTTTTACACCTACACCCCTGTTTTAGACATACACCCTGTTTCACACGTACACCCTGTTTTACACATACACCCTGTTTTACACCTACTCTGTTTTACACCTACACCCTGTTTCACACCTACTTCCTGTTTTACAACTAGACCCTGTTTCATTACCCACACCCTGTTTTACACATGCGCGCTGTTTCACAAATACACTCTTTTTAGACCTACACCCTGTTTTGACTATCATGCGATTACACATTTTATATTCTTCATTTGATAACCACGGTATCTCAACAGTAAAAGAGTGCGGTACACTGTTCAGGATGTCAGTATAAGTATCATGAGACGACCCCTAGTATGCTGCCATTTCCTGCCCCGTTATGTTGCGCGTGGGTGTTCCTCTTACCTCCCTCCGTTAAAACTAAACTCACTCACTAAAGATGTCAACTTAACAACACATAACAACATGATAGTTCCTGAAACTACTTTGTCCAGTAATGGTTATAAAGGCATCTAGCAGATACCGATGGATATCGTGTATTCGTTGTCATGTAGCCTATTTACACTGGAAAGATTAGTCCAACTCTTCTCCATTGTAAACCTTTTGGACCTTTTGAACATCAGTAAAGCTTTCAGAAAAATCTGTGGTAGTTTTTGGGGGCACGTTTCCACTTTTTATCCATACATTATAGCCACTTGTTAACCCCTAAATAATTGTTCCACTGAGAGGGTACGTAAGCCCCTTTTCATTCAAAGTACATGTAGTTTTAATTTTACGGGGGCAACTTGCTGGTAGAACGGCCAGGTGTGCGAGTTGCACGTGTGAAATTGAAATTTCACTGCACACGTGGGTGTCCAAAATCACGATACAAAGCAGAGTTGGTCTGTCGATTTCATGTGACTGTGCAAAATTTGGTTTTGTTGCAACTTTTGGATTCTGTGATAGTGAGCAATTCATCGTTCTAAAATGAAATCAAACGGACTATAACTGTCATTTGAGTACAGGTTTTTCTTTTTTTATGTTTATTCATTCTCTCGTGACCTCCAGCCCTGGTTTGAATCATTGGTGCTGTGTGAAGCACATCTTTGGTGTTCACTGTCGTAATATTGCTGGAATATTGCTTGAAGCGGTGTAAAACCATTCTCACTCACTCACAATGCTGGTAGTATCACCTCTTGTCACCCAAACGATTTATTTGTTGGTTCGTTCGTTCTATTCGTTCGGAAATCTGTCCAAACCGGTATACCATGTATCACTACTATAACCTTCCCGTGTGACTCTCAAATCTGAATACAAGGTAATTCCACGTTCCTGAAGGTCCAACAAATTCTGCACAAAGATAGATATTGCTGGGTCCAACAAATGTACACTAAACGTAAATCTTAAAGAGCAACCGTAATGCTTTACGTAACAAAAGAAGGATCTGAAACAAATGGAATCATACAGAAAGGCAAAAGTTATTGTGCCAAACAGAGAACAAACAGAATCACTGTTAAACTCTTACAACCTCTATGCTCTTTATGTCGGGCTATATTTCATCAGCTCCAAGTTTTGCTGTCGACTTTCAGCACATTTTGAGCTGCAACACGGTTGCAAAAGTTACGGCCTCTGCAAAGCATTCAAAGGTTTTTATGGCAGGCGTGAGGACATATCCAAATTTAACCCGTTAATGTAATTATACAAATGCTGTCTAATGCTATTCTCTGTTTTGACTTTCACCAGTGATACCATGTTTTTACCATGTACACAACTGATTTGTTATTGCATGTGTCTGTGACCGGACCCAGTGGTGGGGAGGAATATGCTCACCTTGTATCATGACCATGCGACAGTTAATCATGCTTTTGTAACCATCTGTGGTTCAAATATTGAATCACGCCGTCAAGTTTCGCTCGGAAGGAGAAAACACGTTTTCACAGACTTCACAGGTTGGTGTTATTGTGAAATCCAGGTGATAATGACAAAACGAGGCAAATGCTAAGATCTTTAACGTCACCGAATTCTGGATAAGTTAAGGGAAGGCATTTGTATTCAGCGCAATGATAAACAATAATATATAACAGAATGTATTCATCATAAATGCACAAAACGTTTAATCCATCAGGGATCAGACAAGGTGCATTACTACAAGCGAGTCAACAAGAAGACGTTTGGCATGACATACACTTGTGGTGCATGCTGCAGTTCAGTGAACGGCAGAGTGAATATGTTGCTATTGTGATTATAATTTTTGAGAATGAGTTTATTTCGCTTTTCTTTATGTATAGTGTATTTCAACTGGCAGGTCAGCATGGAAGGTTTGAGTGTTGTTGAACACGGCAGTTATCGTTATCTCAGCAACAGCAAGATGTTCTGCAAAATCTCGAGCCAAAACTGCCTGTGTCTGGTGTGCACAACATACTCGTTTTCACACAGTTGTACCTTGTGTGTTATCTATGTTAAGCGACACACTCATAGCGGACCAAGGTAATTCTGGAATTGGGGTCACACAGTGTACCCATTTCTCAAAAATGCCGAAAAATATCAAGTTGCGTCTTAAGTGGAAACATCTAGAATGAGTTTAAATGATACATGGTATAATTTGTTCAATCACAATACAGGTCTGCTTGTATTATACTCTTACAAAAGTTGGGGAACTTCATTTTTAATTTACGATTGAAACAATTGGGTGATATATCGGAGTCAATCAATGCTGATATGATGATGATGAATGTTTTGAGAGTTCATCACCACTTGCACTTCCTTATGACCTTGGTTGTTTGTACAGTAATTGCTCTTGAAAGATGATTAGTGTATGACGTGAAATTTGCATGTGTACGATTTTCATTTAAACAAACACTAACAACTGTGCGATGCAAGATGATTGTCAAAATTAATGGTCTACGGTGATTTATCGACCTTCTTGGAAACTGTCAAAATCATGCACGTGTGTGGGGCTACTGTGTTGTGCGCGTGCATCCCATGCGTTGTGTTTAGGGGCGGTGATAAAGAGAAATGGTGGTGCGTTCATAAGATGTCTGTCTTTGAAAAGTTTGTTAACGCTCATACTGCCTATCCAAATTGAAAGTTGAGGTTCCCCTACTTTTTATGAAGAGTATATGTCCTCGGAACGAATGTACTGGTAATGCCCCCACACACGGGCGATTGGCTAACATCCGTTTTGCCGTAAAGTGAAATGCTTAAACATCATGTAAGCCAAATGTATATTTTTTCTTTTACTCTCAAGACAATTATTCAACACTTGCAGGCCCGTATAATTTTTCTAAAACGTAGCTATCACAAATGTAATCTACCCATGTAAGAATAAAAGAAGATGAAATCCAGAAAATCCAGAAACCTCTTTATGTTCATCAAATAGCATATTCTAAAATGCAAATCAAGCATTTAATCTGCCTCATTCTGCACATCACACAATGTAATGTGTAATGTAGAACAGTTTGATCATTGCAATCGAACTAAAATTATATTTTCATTCACTAATTCAACAAATTAATCTTACATAGTGAATAAACACATTCATGATGTCGAATACATGTGACGTTATTACAGCGTGCCACTGGACACTGAACAGTTATCCTTTAATGGTGTAGATCTGGTCATGAGCAAATTATTGAATATTGATAATGGAAATTTCATCTATGATTATTACAGTTATAATCACTCGTCTGTAATTAGTAGTCTGTGGACATTGAATGACAATCAAATATCTGTCCCCCTGGACATTGAACATTGAACCCCTGAACCAGCTAACAATGCTGGGAAGAAGGATGGACATCACGTGTAAGCATTGAATGAAGACAATATTTAATAATTTATTATATATTGACATTTTAATGCATCACTTTATATCATCACATTTTTAGGCTGTCACATGAACATTCTCATTACATTACGGTAACAATGCATGTGTAGATCAGCAACTTACTCAGATACTGAATGATGTATATGTGTAGCTAAATCAATTGTTGGGTGGATGTGAAGGACGAAAACAGACCTAGAGGAGTAACATTCAGTATGGAAATGTTCGATGAAACTTCTGTTGGTAGATTCTGTCAAACCTTTCACTCTGAGCAACTGTAAACCAGTGCTTCCAGTCGCCAGTTTCACCTGAAAGAGTGAGTGAGTTTAGTTTTACGCCGCACCCAGCAACATTCTAGCTATATGGCGGAGGTCTGTAAATAATCGAGTCTGGAACAGACAGTCCAGTGATCAACAGCATCGATCTGCGCAATTGGGAACTGATGACATGTCAGCGAGCCTGAACACCCGATCCCGTTAGTCGCCTCTTACGACAACCATGGGTTACTGAAGATCAATATTTTAACCATGACCTTCACGGGTCTCACCTGAAAGAATGGATAAATCTTTACATGTCACTTCTCCTTAGAGGAAAGTTATTTTACTTGAATATTATTTCCAATGAACTCATAATTAGTAAACGCAATATCAGAAAAACACAGAACACATAACTCACTCACTCACACTGTTCTAAGAGATCCTACCTTTCCTGAAATGACCAGGAGACCCTTCTTTCCATGGGGTAGAAAACATTGGGGTTTTCAGACACGTGTGGGCGTGTTTCAGCTTTGTAAACCCGCATGCTTCTGCAATTTCTTCATAAACCTTGTCAGGGAGAGGATGCAGAATGAACTCAGCCAACTGTTTAACCACTTTCACTGCATTCTGAAAAACGATTTATTGTAACAAATATTTGTTCAAACGTTTTAAAATATCCAATTCAGTCGCTGTGCATCTAAATAATCGACATAATGGTTGATGAAACATTGTACATGTTACGCTGAGGCATCAAGCGAGAAAGTTTATGTTCAATCTCGTAGTCCTATTTCATAAACATTATCAGGCTACTTTGACATTTTCTTCAATAATAAACATTAATGAAAACGTTGCCATGTCAACATGAAATGCAGATGCAAATAGTGTGGTTAAACACTTTCGATTTTTAAGTATTCTTGCCACATTTAAAGTTCAAGGTCACATTTTAAAGTTCAAAGTCAAAGACCCAGAGGATGATTTTTTAAGGTGAAGGGCTTTGCTGTGTGAGGTTCCATCTGACAATGTGTGTCATTTAATGGCTTTATGACATGATAGTGATTACCAAGGATGTATAACTTCATGATAGATGATAGATTTGAATGAATAGCCGATTGGAGAAGGGCTTTTAGAAAGTCAAACGAACTGTGGACTGACCCTGAGTAAATTGTCATTTGACGGAATGGTGTGCCAAACCATGAAAAGTATGATATATGTTGTCATTATATTTGACATCACTCACTTTCTTCAAGTCTTCATAATGTAGCTGAAGAAAGGGAACATCTGGGTAATCTCCTGGAACCTTGTTCCATGACAGGGTGTGATCAAACGCAGAGTCATTGGGTACTGAAATTTATGTAGCCCACATTATATTTTCGGACAAAACAGAACAATGGGCCTCAACAGGAACCGATACTTCTAGTACAATTTTTGGATGTTTGCTGAAGCGTTCGCAACGTTACGACCTGTCGTTAACCATAGGCTTACAAATGTCGTAACGCTACGAACGTTTTGTGGATCGGGACCCTGGTGATAGATAACCTCGAAACAAGTCTAGAAATATGTGGCAAGTCTAGATTTCCACAGTTTCCTAAAATGGAGAAACTTTCTGATCTCATTTTCATTATTTTTATGATTATTATTTTTAACCCTTCTTTCTGTAAAATATGTTCATTTCAGAGCCTAGATGTTGGTTTGTGGTTGTGGTACATTGAACTTAACTGTTTCCCTTGATAAATGCATCTAAGAAGTTATCCCAGGAACCAGTGAAAGACGGCCCTGCTGATTCATTCATCCAGTTCTGATTAGTTGACTGGAAGAAGTAGGACACTGCAACATCCTTCGGATTTCGCTGTACGTTGATTATACGACACTTTCGTTCCCAAATTGCTCTTGGTAGAATGCTGGAACAATCAATCAGTTGCCATGGAGATAAAACTATCAAACAAGAAAAGTGATAAAACTATCTGGCTCCGATATATTATCAACACACATCACTTTAAAACATAAGTTACCATCCTAAGGCCTCAGCGATACCCTTAGAGATAAGTGAAAAACATTTGATCCTTTAGATTTTAGATCATACAATATGTTTCACGTGCGAGAGGTTGCACGTGATTGAATTCCGTGTAAAGTCGTAACGAGACCATAATAAAAGAACCTGCTGAAAATATTTTTTATACGACGGATAAAACAGTAACATAACATTTCCTTTATGTTAAGAATACTGCACAGGTAAGGTTACACTCACGTAAAATACAGCCTTTACAATAACAAATTAGTCAAGGCAAGTACCCCCTACACGATTCAGATTGAGTGTACATGTCGCTTTGTATGAACAGGTTCACTTGAAGACTCATCTCGTATGCATGAGACATAACTATCTTTGATGCAGCAGTTTTCAAAGGCTTATATCAAAGGAACTTCATAATGAATGTTATAGTCACCGTGGTATCATGTGGGTTGTCAAGATCCTCGGAGAAGCAATGGCATCTATGACATCTTCATTGCGTTGGTCAATATAGGAAGAACCCAGCCAATGCTCTGTGTACTTCGCTTCGCCTTTAACGATCATGTTGAGAATCTCCCATGTCCAGTGGGTACCTGTAGAGTTGAGAACTGGATGATAGGCATCAGCACACTGCATTAGGCCGTATGTCATCCTATGTGACCCTCAGCAAACTGACATGTTATACGACATAGCATTACAACCACACGTGCGTGGTCTCTACTGTGTGAAGACCTATTGTTTGACTTCATGTCAACAATTTCCCTGAAATAATTATGGCACACGTCGTATCTGTGCCATATGGTTTTGAACTATACATCCATTTTGTTAAATTGAGTCAGCTGTATTTTCTGCTACGATGGAAACCACATTGTTTCATTTGATTTGACTAAGACTAAAAAAACACATTATTTGAATTAGTTTGACTAGGTCTGGAGTAGAAAAGAAACATCTAATCCTTCTATCCACACTCCGGCACAGCGATGACTTCGCATAACATCACTGCCACAGGTTAATTTGCATATCACGTGACCGGACTTTTCTCTTGTTTGTAAACAAACGCGCATATTCATAATAAGAAGAGACTGGACTCACGAAAGCTTTTCGGCTCTCTCTTCATAATGTTTTACATTGTTACATATATATTCTTCCACAAATGCGACAGTAAGGTCTATGACGGTACATATTTAGATATCAAACTGGCTGCATCGTTTGCTCTCCATCAGCTTTGATGACAGCACGTGGAGCCGTACAACCTATGTAAACAAAGGATCGCTACGAAAATCGAAATAGTGTTACATGTGTTTGGATATTTTCTCAGTGAAACTAAACCATTCTATTAAAGATGTTTAGATAGATGTGTAGACTCGTCACAAATAAAGTGTAAACGAAATGTGTACATTATATTGAATGGACATTGCAAGATGTGACGAATCGTCACATTTTTGCCGCATGGAACTCTGGGTAGGAGAGTGCCTTCCATCGTGAAACACAACATATGAATATATATAGTCACGGGTATTTACCTGATTTAGGATATGTACACAGAAAGATGTCGTCATCTCGTACTTCACGGGTCCTGAAGGAGGACAGAATGGGGATGATACCACATGGAACCACCATATCTTCAAACATAGTCAGTTTTAGACTGAAGCCAGCCCTCATCCCTTCTTCAGCTCGAGTTGACATGTCCTCTCCTGGAACACCCGTTAAGAATAATGTGAACATCTCCAAGGTATTATTCTTATAATTTAAACACAGGTAATTTCAATGAAACCTTTGAAATATTTCTATGAATAAAGTACCAAGATTTTTACCATTTTTCAGATGAGAAGAACTGGACATACAACATCAAAAATTTTAAAAATTGTCTGGGACAAGGAAACTATCGCTCAAAAGTAGGTTGCTTTTGTCTTTTTTGTGCAACAACGCACAGCTAAGTATCATATTAGGCTAAACGTTTGGAAACACATCTCTAGTTTGACAAAGCTAACAGTTAGAGAGCATATATGGTGGACTGCTTCCCTAATACTTACCAAGACTCGCCCCAGCACACCGGAAACATTACCTGTTTGTCAGACGATAACACTCGTGCCTGACGTCACGTAACTGACCACCTCTACCAGTAAGACACTGAGAGAGCGCATTGGTCAACCATGCCCAGTGGTCTTTCCCACCACGGACGATGTGCGGGACAAGAGTTCATTTGAGTTGGGTTTTACGTCACAATGGCATTATTCCAGCCACATAGTGACTCCGGGACAAAAGATCATAGGCACCTGCAGGTACGTTAGCCATACTTGGTAAGGCGCTGCAAAGGGAGTGAACTACACTAAACGCCAAGAGAAACGTTACCCTCCTACCATTATGAATTACTTAAAAACTATCAAAGATATGTTTGAAGGCATTAGTTTACAAGAAGGCCGTAAAAACACAGCTTTATGCAAATCACAAAAAAGTATTCTCAAATGCATTTATATTTAGGTGAAATGCACCTTAAATTGTCCTATTTTCGACCATGCCGAAATAAACCAATAACAGTGATTAACAGATGTCCAAAAGAAAAGTTGAAATAAAATTCTGCTTGAGACAAAGATAAACCATTTTAAGTCACCATTATTCAACTATTAAAACAAGAAACAACTGTTGTAGAGTGTATAAAATTGTAACAGAATCATTCCTATAATTTCAGTCTTTGAAAACATTTTCTGCTGATTTGCATTAGTGAAACAAGTAAAACGTGTCTTTAATATTGTGAAAAAGCATCTAAAATTATCAATGTTAACAATTTTGCAAGCAAAGTAACATTTTTTCCATTTTCTGTTTAAACTATAGGTTATTCACTGGTGTCGAGGGGGACATGGGCTGATGTACCCTCGATGTTTGTTTATGTTCCCTGAGCCCGAAGATTAACAGCTGAATAGAGAGAAAGAGATATTGGGATCGTGCAGATGGAGTCGACATGCAATCCTGTTGCCACCGTCCTCGGATGCCACCGTGTCACGGTTATAAGTCAGCGCTACAGACAGACTGTGGTCACCATAGACAGACCAAGCAGTGGACGTCTATGCATCACAACGCCAGCTGAAGATAGGTACCTCCGTCATTAAGGAAGGAGGGTAACATTTCTTTTGGCGTTTAGTGTATACTCCCTGAAATCGGAATATTAATTCAGACCATTCCATGCCGCATATACGAATGTTTTTCAATGCATGACTTACAACTAATCATGTCATCTCAAACTTTCACTATTCCCAATCTATGTCATCTGTCTGGATTGTTTGCGCCCTTACAATGCCACGCTAACATGTTCTCTTCAGTGTCATGTTACGCCTTGTTCTTCTAGAACTACGCTCACCTGGCTGAGAGGGCCATTTGAGATTAATGCACAATGCCATTACATCACTAGAACTACGCTCACCTGGCTGAGAGGGACGTTTGAGATTAATACACAATGCCATTTAATCACTAGAGCTACGCTCACCTGTCTGAGAGGGACGTTTGAGATTAATACACAATGTCATTAAATCACTAAAGTACTGTCGGAAATGTGAAAGTGTGAAATATCTGTTAAACTAATTTCGGCCTAACTACAGTCTCAGTGGAGGGAGATAGGACACGTAGAAAAAGGACTTTACTGAGGAGAGATGAGTGCAGAAATGAGCAAAGCGGTGTTTTTCTAAGTCCAAAACGATTTATTTGGAACAGGCCATGGGTTTATGCAAAGTAGTGTGCGACGATATTGTATTACAAAGGACACTGCTTAAATGCCCAATTTGAAATTAGACGTAGCTTCATTATAAACGATAGCTGGTGTAAAAATTAATAACTTTCATGCTGAAACTATTAAGGATGTAGCTACCATGGAGTTTCACTGTCACCATAAAAAGAAACAGATAGGAGGGTTCGTCTCAAAAGCAAAACCTGGACGGGTGTCGCAGACGATCGTTTGGATCGGCCTGGGGGATAGAGATATCAGCTAAGATGAGATAATCCTTTAGGGCAATTATACTGGGGAAGTACACGGCATGTCATAACAATTTACAAATAATATCCAGTCCTGTCGATCTTCGCGATCGGGTGGTCATGCCACACTATATATTTTGAGACATTTAATACGATGTGTTTCTATGGTTATCAGGTATCATACTCTTATACATATCTCAACATAAACTTTATGAAAGGAAGACACGTAAGATGTTAATCAATAGATGAGGCATAGTCAACACACATGGATAAGCACAAAATACCTTTGAGATGACCCCTTGTGCCTGTAGGCAGCACATGCATTTCATGCCAGGTGAGTCGACGGTCGGTCGTCATATCTGGCTGAGCGACCTAATTGCCATCTGATAGTCTGATCTATTGTTTTCAGCATCTATTCGTACTTTTTCTAAGTTTTGCCCGATTTTACGAGTAAACATGCTTTTCTGGATATCCTATTACGCATCCCACTGAATGCCAAGTTAGGCCGAAGTGGGTTATTTCGCCATATGCTATTTGCAGTTGTGTAAATTGTAGGGATACAGAGTAACAGCCTAAAACAGTTTTTTTTCTATTTCCTACAGTACTTTTTTTAGTAGATTAGCTAGTGATATCTAATTACTTGTGGACAAGGGGTGGGGGTGGGGGTGTTTAGTCTGGGTTTGTCTGACAGAAACATTGTGGGTTTCATGCTAAAACATGAAGGTCCCTACTAAGATAGAGAACATAAATATATTCATAGGGAACATATTTTTAATAGTTCGATTTTACTGTTACTTTTTTATTTATTACTCGCCCGTGGGTGATACTGCACTGTGATATTTGTTACAGCAATATTACACTAGTGTAATACCGCTAGACGTATGACGTCGTAATGGTTTACAGTTATGACTTCACAATGCTAATACCTCTGTCACAATGGTATTAGACCTTGTTTGATTCGTGGAAAGCTGAGAGTCATAACACTACGTTGGCAGTTTCTATCAATTTATGTTGGAGAGTGATAAACAGAATACTAAACTCACTTCCGTGAAATACCATTTTTATTAAGCTCGTGAAAGATTTAGAATCAAATGTTTAACTCGTTTAATAAATATGGTATTACACTGAAGGTCGTTTAGTATCCTCTATCTATGTAATGTGTTTTCAAGCTTCCAGTTTAGTAATATAGCTTTTCAACTGGGTAGTACTGGTCACTTACCTTGTGTAGCAGTAACTACCAAAACACGTCGGCTGTCTGAGAGACTGTAGAATTGTTGACAGTAGCTTCAGAGTATTGTGACGGTACCATGTCATCTTTCAAGTGACTCTGCTGATGGTGACTTACCTTTGGTATCTGTGCCTTGCAATCCATGTTCGTGGTCCGAGTGAGTGTAGCAGTATTCACAGTCGCGTGCATGTGAATGCAATATCCAGGTGCGATTATGCCACGAAGGTGTATTTGGCACGAGCGTGATTTGACCAACGTGGAATATAAACATACAATACAGCTAAACGCTTTGCATCTTGGCTCTGATAGCTTAAGGGATACTGGTCTTCGATTATGTCCGATGCTCATTATCAGTGTGACCTTTGGCAGATTTAAGATGGTGAAACGTGGTCAGTTAATCTGTAATATTTCCAATTTCCAAAAACATGTAACGTAATATGGCATTTGTAAAGGTTTGTCCATCTTCTCAATGAAATTAATATAATACGAAAGCAAAAATCATGGCAGTAAAGCCAGTGATGAAAATATCCACCTCTCTGCGACAGCAACCAACCCCCAAGGAGGACCTAGGCAAGGTAGTCCAGGGGATAAGTATCATCACACACACAATGCTTGTCATAAGATAGATCCCCTCACGTGCCTACGAAAAAGACAATAGAAGATCTTCCAGTACTTTCAAGAATATAGCATACCACTGACCCCTATTACGCGATGTTATACACTTGGAACATTGCCACACAATGAGGAACACTGACTTATGATAAAGTGTAATAAACACAAAGTTCAATTTCTTGATGAGTACTAGTAAGAGTGAAGACTGTATAAGATATACAAGACAATGAATTTAATCTACTACCTTCACAGCTTACACACAGGTATCCCCCGGACGTCTCTGTGTATCTCTTCACCATGTTTGTGACACAGTTGTATTCAGATACATATGAAGGGTTGCGAAGCAGAACGACCTAAGTGAGACTTAGGTTGTTTTGACATTATAATACCCACTGAACGTCATGTTGAGACCTAGATTGTGGTGAAATATCACGTTGATACATTAATATTTTTCAGAATTACAGCGTGTTGAATATGCATGATTTATGCAAAAAAAAGACCTAGCTAAGACTTAGGTTATTCTTCCTCTGAACGGGCCTGACTTAGGCCCGGATGTGACGGATCTCACACTGTGTCCCATTACCTTATAGTTACATAATAGTTTATTCATGGGTAGGCTACACGGGTATGGTGCAGACAAAAGCTTTTTTCACAAACTGGAAAAACTGGTTCTCTGATGCGTCCTTGTCCAAGGTGGAGGTGACATTAATGACATCGAGCATTACAGAAATGATCGCATGATGTAATATGTAATGATTTGGAGAAGTGTGTTCAAAAGGTTTCAGTATTATTCAAACTATTTGTGAAAGGTTTATACTGATATATACAGATGAGCCTTTGACTCTTTGAACGAAAATTAGGTAAGATATATATCAACATACCAATGTCGTCTTTCTCCGACCTTGCCAAATACATAAAACAAGCCTTCACGTCAACTAAAATGGTGTCGTTTTTTTCAGCAATGTTATTACACGTGATGATAAGGCTGTTATTCTGTTATTAATGGTGCAATATGATACATTTACAAAACAAGAGATTATGGGAATCTAAGAGGTAATTTACCTATTCGATAAGGCCATTCAATTCGCTATTACGCCCTTTCTCATATTGTACGATTTCATCATTTTTATAGTTTGTGATACTAGCAAAACGTATCCAGTTACAGTGTAGATCGTTGTATAGGAATACTCTGGTTCAGGTACAACGACCAAGTGTCAAGCACAGCGGAGTTATGCCCCCTTATCTTTATGAGCGTGTGGCCTCTCTGTCGTCGTTTGACACTATAGCGGAAAATCAATTTTCGTCGTCTATGGCAAGCCATATTTTATACTGATTGTTTAGCCATTTGATATACTGAATGTATAACGTTAAACATAGGCATACAAATCTAAACTAACGGGCAAAAGAAACGACACTAAAATTGAATTTGATAATTTGGACTCGAACTCAAATTTTGTAAGTAGTTATGAGCTTAAAACAATCGCCACAACGCTTCCCTGACATTTGTCATGAAAAATGTTGTGTTTGGGCGAACGAATAATACTGAGCCTAAGTTTGCTTAGACTGCTTTTTGCTGGAGCCCTTTTCTATCCCATCCAGCTAGGGTCCGTGCAGGTAGCAAAAGTAATGTAAGTCCCCATGGTTCCTAGTATGGTGATCTACCTTCAGTTGTTGGCGATCTATAGCCCGTGTTTTATTCTGTATTGTCTTCTTTAATAAACATGTTTTAGTTTAACTCACTAGTTTTACATGCATATCTGTGATTCTCTAGTATTTTTACTGTTCATCATCGACAGGTTTTAATCTTCAAAATGTTTTCGCTTTTTATTGTATGAATTGTTTTCGTCACGCTATGGCTGAAATATTGCCGATGTGACGTTAAATATTAACTCACTCAATCACCTTTCTATCCCGGACTCATATTCTATGACAATATTCCAGCCATATTGTAGTGGCCTGTAAACAATCAAGTCACTACAACAGGTCGTGAAGCACGAAAGTCTCGTGAACGGATTGCTTGAAGCACGTGCATCATTGGGGTATAAGAGTGCACACAAAACTTCCTCGACATCAGACCTTCAAGTCAACTTCAGCGACCATGCCCTGATTATCGCAGGAATCCAGAGAGAGACATTGGGATGGTACAGATGGGTGCCACTCATGCACATGTAGCAGCGACCTTGGGCTGTACACGTCTAGCCATCACGAGGCTGATGACACGCTGCAGGCAAACAGGGCGGACAGTAGACTGGCCAAGAAGTGGAAGAAACCGTTTCCTACCTGTGACGTCATCAGCAGCGACTGGGCTTGGACATCCTATCAGTCAACGAACAGCAGCACGACGGTATCCGCGCCTACGGACCCTACCGTGGTGTACGGCTGACGCTTTAACATCAAAATCAACGTCTTCGATGGGCACGCACAGTTCGCCAGTGGCAAAACAGAAAGTAGATAGTGGCAGAGAGTGATGGTCTCAGACGAGAGCAGGTTCCAGCTGTTCAGGAATGATGGTAGGGCTCGTGTCAACAGACGCCGTTGAGAACGTGTGCAACGTTTCTGTGTACAGGCAGTGGAACCGTTGGTGGCGGAGTGTCATGGTTTGGGGCGGCATATGTGACGGTATGAAGACAGATCTTGTTGTGGTGGATGGTAATCTCACTGCTCAACGATACATTGATCAAATTATGCGTCCGATTGTGCTACCATTCCTACGCCAACGCCGTAACCGGATCATGTTCCAGCAGGACAACGCGCGTCCTCATACAGCACATATTGTCATGGATTTTCTACAAAGAAACAACATCAATGTGTTTCCTTGGCCCTCCACGTCAATGTCACCAATTGAACACTTGTGCGACCATTTGGATCGTCAGATTCGTGCTGGGGCCGTTATAACCGACGTCAGCTTGTCCAAGCCCTTCAAGAGGAATGGCAAAGGACCCCTCAAGGTATACGGCGTCTGACGTTCTCAGCACGTCGTAGAGTTGATGCCCACAGTGGGCATACCAGACACTGACCACGTATGTTGTATTGTTTACATCTGTGATCGAATACTGGACACTTCATTCCTTCATTTATACACTGACTCAATGGACTTGTTATTGCTGCTACTCCAATGAAATGACCGAGTTCATGTTGCCCATACACCTATTATTAAAATTCACTGTCCTTTTTCACAATGGTGGTTTGTAATATCAGTGATTTCGACTTGGTATCGTTTCTTTTGCCCGTTAGTCTATTTGAGATATTGATGTGTCGTTCCGATATCGTTCGTTCAGTATTTTAATTTGTTCGCTCGCAGTTTCCCTGAAGATGCCAAATATGTAATATCTCCACACAGTGCCTTTTCGGTGTAGGATGAAAAACGGAGAAAGTATTCCTGTCTTTAACGAGTCTACTTTTCAAACCGCATAAGTATTTGCACTTCAATATTCTCCATCGGACAGGGAATTAATATTGTACATATCTGTTATGTGTAATTGTCGCGCAACGTTCAATTTTTTAGATTTTAAGAAAAAATAACACTTTGCATCCAGAAGGATAGGGGCGACTTGGGACAGAAATAGAGTCTACATATAGACATACTGAAGCGATTGATTGTATTGACATGCATAAAAATGTATTCATTGCATTCACAATCGTCTGCTTAGTGAAAAGGATTTTGAATCTATGCAATACTCTCCAAAAACGTGGCCAACACCTCTACCGCAAATATTGATCAAGTGTCCCGATCTCACGGTGTTATGTTCTCGGCTTCTTAGTTTTTTTAACTTTTACGTACAACCGCAAATTGGGCAATTTTCAGAAAATCGATTTCGTATTATATAAACATTTCAGTTATAACTTGATTTGACTGAACCACCAATTCAATAGTGCGCGCTCTGTTTTCGACGCCAAAGGGAGACAACTCTTGTTGCACATATAACCACCCGTCATCGTGACCTGTGGAAGGAATGTAGCTTCTGGGTGTAGTAACACGAGCAAACAAGCGATCCATTTTCCCCCTCTTTAACATACTCTAACCATTATTCCAACGGAGTGTATTTCAAAACGCATGTTCTTGGTGACATTTCGTTGTTTTGAAGCACGAGAGTCAGTCCAAGGTGAAAAGGATATTCGAATGGCAGACTCTGATGTGATTCTGAAATGAGATCTGACACGTCTACCACATTGTTGAGATCTACAACAACGGGTCTGGTGCTGACTAAGGAAAACATAAATCTGGAATCTGATTTCCCGACCCAACGTTTCTGTCAGGAACGTCACTATGTCCGTCATTACGGCGCAGTCTACAACAGGGCCGCCAGTGCCCCTTCACACAAGGTGATCAGTACTACACTGGAACTCACTATGTCCGTCATTACGGCACTGTCTACAACAGGGCCGCCAGTGCCCCTTCACACAAGGTGATCGGTACTACACTGGAACTCGCTCCCTTAGAGTACGTCCTGCGCACAATCAGAAGATAGCACATTGAAAGTAAAACCACTAACCTGTTTACAAGCCAATGAATACACAAATACCGCATATCTTTGTATACAATATGATCTGTGAACATTCACTATGACTGTCTAACACTCAATGAGCTGGATAAATAGGCAAAGAAATTACTCGGAGTTCCTTTATGGAATCATACGATTCACCGCGCCAGAATATTCTCAGTGCAACAGAAAAACATTGAAAACACTTCTTTGTGTCCAGTCACTCATCGGTGTGTTGAGGAATAAAGGCGTTGGTATACAAGCTGTTGGGTCGGGGTGGCAGTTGCGGGTTAGTAGTGTATTGGGGTCAGTGTGGCTGTAGGGTGGAGAATATGGCGATTCCCTCCGGTCTAGTGATCAGGGGACAAGAGGGGCGAACAGGTAAGTACTGGACCGTGTCCTGTCTCGTCCACTCTTACTGGACTGGCAGAAACATTTCTTCCCTTATCGTTATTATTGTATGTTCAAGAAACCGTTCCATCATTTTGAGACAGTATGTGTACATCACCATTCGTCAGCCAAACATTGCACGCCGGGTGAACGGTGTTAGTTTTCCTACGTTTTGTCTCAAAATTTACTTTAATAACATCAGTACATCTAACAAGCGCTAGACTAGTAAAGAAATTGTTCTTCAGCAATCCGTGCTTGTAAGAAGTGACTAACGGGATCGGGGGGTCTGGTTCCAAGATCGTCATGTCATCAAGTCAATCACCCGATTGTCTGGTCCAGACTCCACTATTTACGGACTGCCGTGTGTCACGTTAAGCAACAATCTAACAAATAAACCTACAAGCGACGTGACACGTGTTAGTGAAATGTTTAATGACGTTTCTTTTCAAGTCCCTTTGCACGCAAAAAATAAGTCTGTAGTTTCGTCATGGCGGAGTGTCGGGTTTGATTCGCCACGTGCCTACATCTCGGTTTTTGTGATGTTGTTGAACTGCTGCTGCAAGTGGAGGAAAACTTTGAGTTCTTGGACGGTGGGATATAGCATCGCATCTCGGACATCGCATCTATATTTACACATGTCGATTGCTCAACGAACCTCAGTTGGATACGGTTACTTACGACTGTATTTCAATGACACGTTCATGGGTTTGAGAATAAATATGATTACAAGACTTTGTGATATATTTATTGCCCATTTTGAACACTCTCTAAAGTCTAAGTTGATATAAGTGGGTATATAATAGTGGCGTATACACACAGCTATCTTAGCTGATGATGAATTACAGCCAGTTCCGGCAAATGGTTAGGTTGTCTTGTAAGAAAGTGTAAGAACTCCAATAACATAAACACTCACACCATCAAGTGGTGCAACTGACGTTAATTTGCTAAAATCATTGCAAGATCGTAAACTGACTCAGCGATGTTTGTTTGTTTTTGTGTGTGTTTTGTTTTGTTTTTCTGTCAACCTTTATGGCACCATTGCCTGAATGACTCCGATACAAACCCATGAGTCCGCAATCCTCACTGGTCCCGGCATAGTTGTAAGTGGTAAGTGATCAAATGGAATGGGAAATGCTTGACTAAAGAGTTCTATCAACTCTGTGCCCACTATCACTGGCTCTGAGATAGACCCCACTCGCCTGCTCACTGTCATGTTTCAGTGCCTCTGACGAGTGTTGACGTATCAGTGAGTATTCAGGGTTTCCTGGCTAACGTTGACGCATGTGTCCAGTATCGCAATGTCCACGACACCACAGTGGACGTGGCCTTTCTCTTCCCCATGGACGACAACAGCGTGGTGTACAAACTTGTGGCCGACATCGACGACAGACACTACGAAGCTGAGATTCAAGAAAAACAACAGGTGGGGGATAAAACAAACTTAATCATGAGCATGATTATACACCTCGATCATCCCCTGGCCTCATCAGCTTATGTTAACACTGGTTGTGGTACGAAGCGATTTGGATCTGTTTGACATGACGTCGTTGATTGTCTGTTGACACCATGAATCGTTGATAATAGTCATGTGTCTGGTCCAGATCAATTACGTTTAAGAATTGTAATGAGTTGTTAAAATACATAATTCGTGTCGGTAAAACCTAATGGTTAAAACATATGGTAGCAACAGGCTGGGTATCCAGGGTGAAAACGTAATCTCCACATAACCGCTGATCGTAACGTAATTTAAGATGAAAGAGACATGCGAGCCCACTTGTATAGTGTTAATACCTCCAGGAAAGATCTGTTAAGCTGGATTAGGCTATACTCTTCTAGAAGTTTCCAGACTACACTTGATAAATATAGTAACTTCCACATCACTGATTACGTTATGTAGTAATACATAGCCGACAACTAAATATTCAGTTTGTTAAATGAAATAAAACAGTGTTAAGAACTGTTGGTGATTTGGTGCTTTGTAACAGAAGGAATGTAAGATAGTTACAACATTGCATGACGACATATCACAGTACATTCTGTCATTCATAAAGGTCACAGAAACCTACACAAAAGCTGATGTTGCTGGTCGACCTCCTTTTATGAGAGAGGAACAAGAAGCTTCAGGAGACATCTTCAGATGCAAGTTGGGTAATCTACCACCAAATTCCGACGCCAAACTCCAGTTTTCTTTCGTGACGGAACTGGCTCAGGAGATTGATGGGTCTCTCAAGTTTGTTCTCCCCACGGTCCTCAACCCCAGACAACGTCCCAGCACGGAAGGTAAGGCAACATCAACGACGATTTCTTTCTTGACATTTGTTTTTCTACGACTGTTGATTTCTCCGTGTTTTTCACTTCTTAATTCGTTTCAGAACCAGGCGGGCATTATAAGTCGTTCACTGGTCTCGAGGGTCACATCAACCCATGGGCCCCGAGGGACCAGTGAACAACGTATTTATCTTACCGAACACCTCAATGGTAATTTGAACTGTTTGAAGCACGGGTATCGGATCATATTATGGAGTACCAGACGACAAGAAAAACAAATTTAGAGTTATCTCCCTTCCATCGATTTGAATTCGCAAAACATCTGTAATTTCCGTGCATCATACCTGATTCAATGTAATTCGAGAAAAATAATTACTACTACGAAGTACCAAATGAGTTCGGCATTCCCAGCGGGGTACATAGAAAATGTTACTCGCTTGTAAGCTGGGTACATTGAAAATAATAGAAAAGCGCTCAGCCAATCAGAAAAACGACATTTATGTGTGAAGCAAGATATTAGCTGGCATCCTTACTGTATGCACTCAGTATGTGTAATAAGGTGATAGTATATAATGAGATGACAAGGCGATGTGTCCTTTATCAGAAAATTGTCATTAAGACAGGTTTCGAAGTTTAGTACTATAAATGCAAAATAACAATTTATCACATGTGTATAACTACAGAGAAGTATAAAAAAATCTCGCAGCTTCTAAGAAGAGTTTTAGTTTTTTGGGGTTTTTTTTCCTTGTTTGTTGTTGTTTTCGGGGTGTGGGGGATTTGTTCAATGTGAATAGGAATAGAAATATATACCCAAATTTTATAATTCTTTGGTTCAAATTGCTGTTCTCTCTCATTGAACAATTCCTCCATTAAATTTAGGTATGTAGTCCTTGTTTGGTTCAATATTTAACATTTATGATAAACTGTACTAGTTGCACCATTCAGCGTATCAGATCGATAAGTCTGAAACTGCGACAATGTGTCTTTATTGTTACGTTTGTTGACAAATACACGAAAAATAACTTCGTTAATGAACATCTGACATGTCGCTCAATTACAAGATTTTCCCAAAGAAAACTACATCTTTTAGTAATGACAACTACATACAGAGGCAGTGAAGGACCCTAGTGATGAAAACATTTGCTCGTCACGCCGACTAACTAGACTCGCTATGTACCATCCATGAATACAATGTCAAAGCCATTCTTCATATAGTCAATGGATATTGCCGAAACAGGCGATAAGCTGATGGTCTTCTGTTACCGTAGATGCAGATGAAGATGCGACTGTGCCTGATGTGAGTGCAACCTGCTACAATCTGACCTTCCACGGCACCGTGGTGTCTAAGCACGAGATAGTCAGGGTGTGGTCCACTACAGACAGGCTGACCACGGTTGTGGACGGCGGAATCGTCAAGACCGTGACGGTATGCATGCACACACACACATGCACACACACACACACACACACACACACACACACACACACACACACACACACACACACACACACACACACACACAGAGACACACACACACACAAACAGGCCCATCCGTAACACGATTAGTAAGAGTGTATCTCAGCAAATTTCCCCTTATCCACATCATTCCTCCAGCATTGTCAGAATCCTGTATTATTTTATAACAAAATACATATTTTTTTGCAAAGTAACCTGAATTCGATTGTGTATACGTCTTGTTTTGTCAAAATAGAAATATTTCGGTCTGACATTATTGTGAATTCTATAATGTTCAGCACACCTGCTATACGAAGTTGGTACCGGTATGTTTCCCGTGATCGCCCAGCGTCACAAGATGCAGGTTCTAGGAGTGCAACTGAAAGTGTTGTCAAATAGCAATACCACGGAGGGGACACACAACATACAACAAGATCATCGATTTCTGTGAACAGAGGCACATTTAGCATCGTTGGAAAATTGATGAAATGATACGACTTCTTAATTATTAATTTATTTGAGCAATGTAATACGTAATAAAGAAGAAAGAACAAATCCTTAGGGATCAGCTGTTGGTGGTGATGGTAGTGGTGGTGGTGATGTTAGTGGCGTTTGTACGCAGCAGGCACCATTATATAGTCCATACATCTAACATGTAGCTTTGACGTCAATGTGTGAACGATGTGTCATTTCAGATACGTCTCACTGAACCATTCAGTCCAACACATAACCTATCGTTCAACATTCTATATGGGGAAGACTACAACATCCAGACTTCCCTGGAGAAAGGAGACAAAGGTACCGTCGTACATCACTAAACAGGAAACCCCTTTTAGAAGGAACCCCTTTAGTCTGGAAACCCCTTAAACGGGCAACCACGTAACGTCCGCGCATACGACGACGTATCTGCATTAGAACTATCTGATATTATGTTAATGTATACTTTAATGTCTTTAACTTCCAGAAGTGACTGGTTATGGTGGGTCTGATTAACGGGGTTTCATTGTTGGATACCCCGCTGCCTGATTGTTATTGGTATATATTACTGATGCCATTGAAGTCCTGATTCTGACTTCAAAGTAACACGCCCTTGTTGTGAGAGGCAACGAGTGTGTCGGTCCTGTCATTGCAATAATCACTCCACTTGCTAAAGACATCTTGTATGCTCTGGACATCTTGTATGCTTTTGGCGGATTGTATACTCTGGACATCTTGTTTGCTCTTGACGGCTGATTTCAGTCGAGACGTAGCTGGAATATAACTAAGTGTGGCATTTAAAACAAATAGATATGAAAGGACCATGTTTTCAGTAGAAACTCACCGATAACTAAGAGCAAGCATGCTGAGTCAGTTGCCAGGCTTCGAATATATCCCTCCGTTAGTCGTTTCTGTTGTCATACACAGGTGCATCTTCATCCCTCCTTCGGCGAGACATACTGATGATGTCCTTGCACCCAAATGTCATCTCGGGGCCTCTGAACGCTGAGTTCATCTTCATCTTAGACCGATCAGGTACGTGCAGGCGGCTTGTACTGTTGTATGATACTTGTGTTGTATGATGCGTGTGTTGTCTGATGCGTGTGTTGTATGATGCGTGTGTTGCCTGATGCGTGTGTTGTATGATGCGTGTGTTGCCTGATGCGTGTGTTGTATGATGCGTGTGTTTGCGCTGATGCGTGTGTTGCCTGATGCGTGTGTTGTATGATCATATGCATACAGGATTCTGTAGCCAGCCGTCGTATATACAACTACTGTGAAATACGGTTTTAACGAACACAAAGGTACTACTTTAGTTCTTTACAACCGTAGTTCGTTACAAGCATTTCGACCGCAAGTGACCGGTACCAAAGTACACAGTTCCTCATATGAGCCAGTTCGTTATTAACGCGTTCGTTATAAATCGAATGGTTATGATGATGGTGGATATTTTCGGCAATATATGTTGTGGCGTGTCAGGTTAATATGGTGTAGATATAGGTACTATCCATTTGTGCAAATCACTAATATGTGATGACAAGCCTAGAATAGTTGTCAAGATATTCCTTCGAATACTGGCACAACTAAGGGAGACAATTCCTGCTGCTGTTTCTGGTCACTGGGCTAAACCTAAATAATTGCATGTTTATTCTAGGATGTGTGTACATATTACTTTGTTAATAAGATACCACACTATATGAAAGTTACCCTTGAATGTCTGGTCTAGATTTGAGTATTTACAGACCATATTCCTAAACGTGTCATACTGTTTGTTATGGCGTTATAAACAAAGAATCAATTACCGGGCATACGAACCGTATCAATGATAACCATCACGCAAAATAGCCATGCAGTTGGTGGTGTTGACACTGGCAATTCTTTCCACAACAGGCAGCATGAGTGGCAAACCGATACGAAGAACCCAAGACCTTCTGTTGTGCTTCCTGAAGAGTCTTCCGACAGACTGCTACTTCAATGTCATCAGCTTTGGAACCGGATTTTCTCCCCTTTTCCCTCGGTAAAGGAATTTAATAAATACAGAAGTGCATTTTAACACCATAACTCAGAATCACGATTTTCTATTCAATCAAGATAATTTTTAATTGATAACTTAAATGGGGATAGAGGGAAATATTCACACAAAAGTTCAAAACAGAAACACGATTTCGTATTTTATTGATTAATCAATTGTACACGCAAGTTTGTAATTGAAATTCCAAAATAATTTAAAATCGAAAATATTTGGGGTGCTTTTTCTTTAATAAGACCAAGGAATATGTATGCAATTATGTTTCTTACTCTTGCCAGGGGGTCCTTTATGTTTTTGAATGGGTTTGGGTGGGCGAACCCTTCCCCCGTGATCCTTCAAAATACCTGTGTAACCATGTTTTGAAGGGGGAGCGAGCGTTACGGGCCAGCCTCCCTGAAAAAAGCCTTGGAGCTCCAGGAGGATCTGAGGGCGGATATGGGAGGAAGTGAGTTTTTTAACCCGATACAATTCGTGTTGGAGAGAGGAGAAATCCCCGGCTACTCACGACAGGTAGGACTTCTGTTTATCAGAGCGGGATGTGTCATACCCCCAGAGAACTACTCTGTTTACATTTGTCAATTTAACTTTCATTTCCGAAAATGTTAATATTGTACAGTAACAATAAAAATGTTTATATTTAGTGAATTATTGTCAGCTTCATGAATAGTGATGGTCACAGTCATTCGTGGCAGTAGTCTAACGATTAGCAGTGGTGGCAATAGTAGTAGAAATATCATTAGTAGTAGTAGCAGGAGTAGCATTAATAAAAGTGGTAGCAGTAGCAGTAGCAGTAGCAGTATCGTCGTTCGTGAAATTGTAAATTTATCGTAAAGGTTTAGATGTGTTTCCTCCAGTAAAAATTCTCGTTAGATTATGCGACATATCGCTCCTGTGGATGTTATGTATCAGTGTTCTGCTGCAGGTGTTCCTTCTGACGGACGGAGACGTCTCCAGGGTCGGTCACGTAGTGGCCCTGGTCAGGAGGAAAGCCAGATCGTGCAGGTGCGCTTTCCTAGGAATCTTATTTACTTCGGGCTAGGTGTCACAATTGTACCTTGATATCGTCAAAGTGTTACATATGACGATACGTATATAATGTCAGGTAAAACTGTCGGGTTCAACTTGGCTTTCAGCATCATTCCAGTTACGTATATAGGACAAGCAGAATGATAAGCTTGATGTCATGTTGCAATATTCCTCCACGTCAAGGAACGCATTTCGAGCTATTTCAGGCGCCATGTAAAAGTTTCATACATGTTTAATAATTAACACTGTCAGGCACAGTGTCTAGGTGTCTACGATTGTAAACTCTGTCTCTACCCAGGGTCTTTACAGTGAGTGTCGGTGCTGCGTTGTCGACGTCGCTGGTGAGGAGAGTCGCCAAGGCCGGAGGTGGGCTGGTGGAGTTTGTGAGAGACGCTGATAATCTTCATAAGAAGGTGAATATAGTATATCGTGAAACTCATAAGAAACAATCGACCATGCCTTTGTGTAGAGTTTTTATGACAATATAAAGAGTTTTGTAACCTCTATTTATGGAACTTTATACAAATTTAGTTGATGCTTCCTCAAATGTATGGACTTAGCATATGGACAACACTCAGTGAAGTTGGGTAGTTGAGGCCCTTAACGTCTGATGTTATGGAGTGAAGACCTGTGAATGACAACATGTCACTGAGACAATGAGTTAGATATAAGAACAGTAATTAATTATACCAAAGTATTCTGGTACATATGAAATAACACACACAATTATGCAGGCATATGTCACACGGCTGACACCAACTATCACCGGAAACATAATACTTTTTCATAGGATTTTATCCTTGATGTTGATTAACAAAATGGTATTTAATTTCTTTCATGATATGTTATCTCATAATATTATAAGTTGTTCACTGGTCTCGAGGGGGGCATGGGCTGGAGTACCCTCGATGTTTCTTTATGTGAACAACGTATTTATCTTACCGAACACCTATATGGTAATTTTGAACTGTTTGAAGCACGGGTATCGGATCATAGGATGGAGTACCAGACGACAAGACGACAAGAAAATCAAATTTAGAGTTATCTCCCTTCCATCGATTTGCATTCGCAAAATATCGGTAATTTCCGTACATTATGCGCGTGATTCAATGTAATTCGAGATAACGAATTACTACTACGAAGTACCAAATGAGTTTGGCATTCCCAGCGGGGTACATAGACAATGTTACTCGCTTGTAAGCTGGGTACATTGAAAATAATAGAAGAGCTCTCAACCAATCAGAAAAAGACATTTATGTGTGAGGCAAGATAAATCTCATTATGTGTTACTTAAACTACCATGATTGAAGTAATAACACATATTTCACTGTTTGAAGGTGATGAAGCTGTTGAGGTACGCTTTGCAACCCATCGTAACCGACCTTGACCTCACACTTGACCTTCCCGAGGGTCTGAAAGTGACATGGAGACTGCCGAGAGATTGCCCAGTGATGTTCAATGGAGGGAGATACACAGTTTATGCTATTGTGGATGGGGAGGTGAGACATGGCAGTGTTGTATGTTGTCATTACCATCTTGGTTGCAGAGATTCAGATTAAACAGATCTCGTGTTGCTTGTATGTGTCAAGGGAAACTGTTGTAACAGTGAGTGAGTGGGTATGGCTTTACCCTGCTTTAACAATATAGAACCAATATCAAAAGGAGGCTTCGTGAATTTAACCAAGACGAGGATCGATCCCACGACTTTGGCGTGACGGTAAACCAGCGTGCTGTTTCAAGAGTATGAACATACCGATATTATAAAATACTTGTAATAATATCTTGGTGCTTCTATATTTTAGTAATTGAGTGAGCAGATGTTATGCAACACCAATGCCAGTAATGCATGCACTTACAAACCATGGATGTCGAATCCATGCCATACCATCATCGATGTGCCAGGGTCTCTATCTTCGTTCTGTGTTTTATGAACCTATTCGCTACCCCAGCTGTGTTTAATGGAGATGACATTATAAACAATTATCATATTATTCTCATGAGCGGGAGGTGACGAGAAAAACGAGATTGAGAAGTCACTTTCGAAGTAATATTTGAATGGGTCTATTGTATTTATCATAATGAAGAAAGCCTACACTGGAGGATGGGACAAGATATGACAATACACTCGCCCTATTACGATTTATGGTTTGTGAACACTCGTGACATGGTGAAAGCTTAAGAACTGCATCACTTCAGACTTTCCTCCGCATCAAGCAGATGTTCCGGGTTATTACTGAAGAAGTACCCAAAGTGGTGGGAAGCCAAACTCACTCACTCACTCACGTTCTCTACACAGATTGATCGTCACACGCCATCTATCGGAACAGCCAGAGTCTCTGGCAGGATTGGGGAGAAGGGGTTCACGCACACGTTGACGTTCGACGTCTCCAGGGACGCGGTCACCACGTCTGAAACATACATGCACAGGATGGCCATCAACGCTCTTATCAAACACCTGGAAGTCATCGACAAAGGTAATAACGCAGGTACAAGGACACGGCATTGAACACATACATCACCACGCACAGTTCACATCACAGCACACCTCATCACATCATAACACGTCCCATCAACAACAAAACACTGCAACACCTCACACTCCTCACAAACAGATGAAACTGCACAGTTCACACCACAACCAACTACACCACGTATCACACCATATGACAAACATATCACACCTCACACCACACACCACACTCAACTACACCACGTATCACACCACATGACAAACATATCACACCACACACCACACTCCACACACCACACCCAACTACACCACGTATCACACGACATGACAAACATATCACACCACATACCTCACTCCACACACCACACTCAACTACACCACGTATCACACGACATGACAAACATATCACACCTCACACCACACACCTCACTCCACACACCACACCCAACTACACCACGTATAACACCACATGACAAACATATCACACCTCACACCACACACCACACTCAACTACACCACGTATCACACCACATGACAAACATATCACACCACACACCACACTCCACACACCACACCCAACTACACCACGTATCACACGACATGACAAACATATCACACCACATACCTCACTCCACACTCCACACTCAACTACACCACGTATCACACCACATGACAAACATATCACACCTCACACCACACACCTCACTCCACACACCACGTATCACACGACATGACAAACATATCACACCTCACACCACACACCACACTCAACTACACCGCTTATCACACCACATGACAAACATATCACTCCACACTCCACACCCAACTACACCACGTATCACACCACATGACAAACATATCACACCACACACCTCACTCCACACTCCACACCCAACTACACCACGTATCACACCACATCACAAACATATCACTCCACACTCCACACCCAACTACACCACGTATCACACCACATGACAAACATATCACACCACACACCTCACTCCACACTCCACACCCAACTACACCACTTATCACACCACATGACAAACATATCACTCCACACACCTCACTCCACACTCCACACCCAACTACACCACGTATCACACCACATGACAAACATATCACACCACACACCTCACTCCACACTCCACACCCAACTACACCACGTATCACACCACATGACAAACATATCACACCACACACCTCACTCCACACTCCACACCCAACTACACCACGTATCACACCACATGACAAACATATCACACCACACACCTCACTCCACACTCCACACCCAACTACACCACATGACAAACATATCACTCCACACACCTCACTCCACACTCCACACCCAACTACACCACGTATCACACCACATGACAAACATATCACACCACACACCTCACTCACACACACCACACCACACCCAACTACACCACGTATCACACCACATGACAAACATATCACTCCACACACCTCACTCCACACTCCACACCCAACTACACCACGTATCACAACACATGACAAACATATCACACCACACACCTCACTCCACACACCACACACCACACCCAACTACACCACGTATCACACCACATGACAAACATATCACACCACACACCTCACTCCACACTCCACACCCAACTACACCACTTATCACACCACATGACAAACATATCACACCACACACCTCACTCCACACTCCACACCCAACTACACCACGTATCACACCACATGACAAACATATCACTCCACACACCTCACTCCACACTCCACACCCAACTACACCACGTATCACACCACATGACAAACATATCACACCACACACCTCACTCCACACTCCACACCCAACTACACCACGTATCACACCACATGACAAACATATCACACAACACCCTCCACACTCCACACACCTCACTCCACACTCCACACACCACACCTTATTTCACCAAAAAACCAAACACATTATCTATTTTTAAAAAAAACGTACATCAAACGTTTACAAAGCGCCGTCATATAGCTTGAATATTTCTGAGTGAGGCTTGAGACAACACACAAACAAAACAATAGTATTGCATGGAACAACTATTCAACCCTGTAAGTATCGCCTGGAAATATGAGCATATTCACAACGTACCTCACCCCTCGACTCTGCCCCTCCACACCCGTCTTCTCATCTATGTATACCAGCACCACTTAGATACGAATATTAGGTATTAAATGATGGATAGGGTGTTTCTCTGGCGAACTTGTTTGTAATCAATTAATGTTTTATGCAGATGATATTTAGTATTAGTAGCAGTAATAGTCAGCATGTATGTATGACTTATTTCACAGAGTTCGGCGGGGTGAAGAAGGATGAGATAGTAGCTGCCAGTATGTCGGGTAATGTAGTTTCAAAGTACACGTCATTCGTTGGTGTGGACGTATTGACCACCGAGGACCACCCCCAGCCCGCTACACGTCAGATAACGCGTACGGACATGAGGTATGAACGATTCCCGAGTAAGGTTTGGCGTGTCCATAATCGTGATTATTTTTGTTTATAATTACTATTTAACTTTCGGATAACTGTGTGAAAAATACTTCTACTGTGGCACCTCGGTAATTGTTTGTTATCCAATATGCGACAGTTAAAGGATGGCTTCTAAATGCAAGTGTCCCGGTATTCCCGAAATGTGTTACTCTTAACGTTTTCACAAGGATCCTCGTCACGCCGAAGACCCGGGTTCGAATCCCCACATGGGTACAATGTGTGAGGCCCATTTCTGGTGTCCCCCGCCATGATGTTGCTGGAATATTGCTAAAAGCGGCGTAAAACCAAACTCAGTCAGTCAGTCAGTCACAAGGAGCCTAGTCCGTCCGATTTAACAAGGTTTCACTATATCTCCGTTACAATAATGATAATCATAATATGTACACCTGGTCTTGTAAGTGTAAAAGGCAATATGGTACAAACTAATAACCAAAGAATAATCATAAATAAATTATGAATAATTTATAAATAAAACATAATTATGTCATGCTATGAAGAATCCGGTATTTTTAACTTGTTGTAAGTCGTATGTTACGCTGATTAAACAGTCAGACAAGTGTATGGATGTCTCTTGCAGTGCAACTGAAGCTGATGTAGCAGAGACCACTGATGAAGGTAATACATAACCTGGCTACATCGGTATACGAATACAGGGGTGACAACATCAACCTGTCTTTATCATACACGTGGCCTTCCATCGTCATTTACTGCTTTTCGTATTTCAAACGTATTATAACGCAGAAACTTATTACAATACAATACAGTTAACGTTGTAAAGAATGAGTGACATAGAATCATATATTTGAAACATTTTGATTTGCAATACACATTCTGTTTCTAATCTTGTATTCGGCTCTATACAATGCTCATTTGTTTAACAATAATTTCTGTGAGTGTAGGCTTTGACATTACCCGAAGTTGACAGCAGTCGCCTGATGGTTTAACACACAGGTCGTCTAAGGTGTCGGAATTTGTTGTATCTGTTGTTCATGACTGAATCCAATACACGTTGGTTCAATCTGCACTGGTCATGCACTCTGGTGTGGCAGCTCGTACGTGTTGGGATCACAGAAGGGATGGTCTTTAGGCTTTCATCCAACATGTGAAACCATGTTTTAACTGGAATTATGAAAGTCGTTCACTTACAATCCCCGATGTCAACTGTTTCTTTCAGTTACAGATGTATTGATCATGGCCAGAAATCAAACAGATGTACGGTTGTTATTTCTTAACACGACATGGCCTGACATACGTCACCTCATTCGTCAACAGTATTCTGAACATTGACTATCATAAACATGTGACATGTCACAGAGGTGGTGTGGGTTATTTGCCTGTTATTCGCTTATTTACATACATACATACATACATACTAACATTTGTATAGCGCCGATATCCAGCTCAGCTCAGCTGCTCAAAGGCGCTTTGTTTTTCCCTCGTTCACTGGATGTCAATCTCAACGGCACATCGTATTGTCAATCTCAACTCCCTGGGGAGCATACATCTGAAATATGTTCATGTACGACAAATAAGGATACAAATCTTTAACTTTTACCATTGATCTTTCCTTTGGTATAATTCAGATCCAACGTGTATCAGCCATGACGTGTTGAGTTGTTCAGATTCGCCCACAGCGAGTGAGATGGTGACACTGCAGGAGGATGACGGCGCTTGGATGCTGAGTGAGGCACTTTGTTGTCTCATCAATGTACATCGGTACAGACTGATAAAGATAGCAGTGTGCACTGTGAGTGATTTAAATCAATACCCTACCTGTCTAAGTTTTCTTTATATAACCAAATGTGGACGGAAGCAAAGAAACTAGTAATGACCTACTGCTCCGTCCAGCTGTAACCCAGCACCCATTCAGGTGAACTGGCTGGCGGCTAAGACATGTTAGACACAAAAATAGTCGATTTTAATAACAGCTCAACACATACATAGTATTACATACACATCCTTCTTTTTGTTCAGGACTTAAAGGTATGGGCGACTGGTTTGGCGATTTGCTGGTTGACACTGGAATGCCCAAATGAACGTCTAGTGTGGGACTTGGGGGTAAACAAGGCCAAAGACTGGCTGGACAAGCAGCTTGGAGGACAGGGGGAGCTGGACAAGTTTCTCAGGGATGTTCAGGACGCTGCGTTCACAGACGAAGACGACGAAATCAAGCACATTATGTTGAATGAGAGTGAGGACGAGGTTTCATCAATGTCCTGTACACCCGAGACGAGTTCACAAGGCAGTCCACTATTCCCAGTGAATACATTTAGAGACTCCGCTGACAACGTGATACACGGCAGTTTCAGTAACGAGGACGTCTCCCATAGAGAAGTCGTCAGTTCTAAAAGTGGCAACCCGGTGTAATATATGCCTTTTAATTTAGACTCCACAAAGTCTAATGCGCTTCTTGCCTGTCGTTACACTTTTAGACAATGACGACACCACATGCGGTGGATCTCTTCCTGTTGTTGATACTGTTGTCCAACTTCAGCTGAAACCATTTGGAGGTCAGTCAAACAGTTATTCAGAGAATACTGACGCGCACACGAAACCCGATCACGCATTTCGCTGTCCTGGGTTATTGCGCTTGAGCCTACAAGGATTCAGAGATCCTGGATTTGAATCCCAGACCTTCCCTGACAATGAGTGTTGGGTCGTCAGCAGCGTACCCTTGGTCTTGGCTTTCACCGGTGTGGTGGACGTCTGTGACCAACAATACTTCGGGATTTCCTCCCACATTTACCAAACATGCTGCCTATAATTCACTACTGTTTACAACTCCAACAGTCTCACTTAGTGATGTTCAAACGTCACTCTGATCAATGTTGACAAAGCAATACACAAATATTGTTGCTCTGAAAGTATCATTAATGTCTGTTGGCATGTGACTATTCAAATTTACGGTAACAACACTGACAAATGTATTCCGCAGATGATTTATATCATGTTGATTATGTGAAAAAGGAAAACTCCATCTTTTTATATATTTTGTGTTTATTGATGTAACTATGAATGAATCATGGTTACCCTAATTATGGCTAATAAAGTCGATCACCTAATAACACATAGTGCAAGGACATTTTATTAATATTTGTATATTTTAAAAGATTTGTGATTTCCTTGGTCGTCTGCAGACCTTCACATGTCACGATTTTCTCTCCGTCGTCTCTTGCCCCTGCACATACTTGTATTGTTTAGGGACTAGGGCTGGGACGGGTAACCCGGATACCCGGAACGGGTGGGTAATGAGTTGGACCCGGGTACCCGTCTCAATACCCGGACCCTTTATGATAATGTGACATGCAATACATTAAACAATGTAATATGTTATTTTTTTTCATGATTAAAAATTTAAAAGGTTGTATCGAAGATTTAGACATAAGTTACAGTCACTTCCTTTGAATATAATACATGATTAAGATATTGAAAAACTCGAAATTTTAGCCTCCGACCTGAAGAATATATTGCCATTTCTTGCAAATTTGATGTCAGGAACTAGCATAACGGGTATCGGGGTAGTGTGTGTGTGTGTGTGTGTGTGTGTGTGTGTGTGTGTGTGTGTGTGTGTGTGTGTGTGTGTGTGTGTGTGTGTGTGCGTGCGTGCGTGCGTGCGCGTGAGTGTGTGTGTGTGTGTGTGAGTGTGTGTGTGTGTGAGTGTGAGTGTGAGTGTGAGAGAGATGGGTGATGATTTTAAGGGGGTGTCACATGTTTTGTTCTGGGGAGGTAGGGGGGCATCAATTTTGTTCACGTCATCTGGGGGAGTCAGCAGTTTTGTACACAATTATTATTAAAAATTATGCTTACAAAAATATGGGGAGGGGAGGAAGTGTCATTGATTTTGTACATGACATGCATGGGGAGGGAGAAACTTATTTTGTACATAAATTTAGGGGGGGGGGGGGTCATTCACATTGTACATGCTTTACCATAAAACAAAATCTTCGAAGATTTGGAAGGGCGATTATATTCATTACTACTATCAATTAAATAAGTAAACGCAATCTAACAAACATTTGAATAACATGGAATATATGGATGTCTTTATTTTGAGAAACACGGCGTCTTGGAATGTATTGTTACTCCATCATGGTGAAGGAGTAAGTATATACTCCGTAGCAGGTGCGCGAATTGACTCATACCTTCTAACTAGGGACCATGGCGTGTCCGGGTCATTCTGTTCATATTGAGTGATGTAGTTGTATTTGACGCCGCTTCGAACAGTGTTCCCCAGGTACATCAGAGTATGTTATCTTCATGTGGGACGATCTAATGCAGGTTTGAGATGTCCCTCTCTTCCCACCTTGGGACATGGAAATGAATGATACTAATGTATATAATGTGGGGATCAGCTCACAAGACTTTCTCCTTGGCTCCACCAAACCTTATATACACGTAAACTTTGAGAGACATGCTCCGGACAAAGTTTCGGGACGGAAGGACGGATAGAAGGACGGAAGGGCTCACAGAATGAACGTTATATACCCCCGTTACTCCGAAAGCAGGGGTATAATTTGAGCGAGATTTGGATTCGGATCCACAACCATAGGTCAGTGACATCCCTACCTGGAGCACAACAAAGAAACTACACTGACTGATACGTTTCATGACTGTGACTTGGTATGGGCAGGGACCATATAATCTATTATATGGTCTCTGGTATGGGCAGATTGACGATACACTCAAGGTGTTCATATTGATCAATAGGACGTAACACAGACTTCATATTCAACAACTAGGCTGATTCACCAATGAAATTTTGTGTTGCATCTCGTAACTCGACACAATATAGTTAGAGACAGTTAGTTTATAAAAGCATCACAATACAGTTTAGAATTCATTATGCATTAAATGGATAATGAAAGGCAACTGTGTGAAAATATGCAAATTAAGGCTACAAAGACTAATTTATAAATTTAAATACCCGCGACATCAGAACCGTGTGATAGCAATAAAACCCTTTTTAAGAGTCATTATAGCATTTACTCAATAAACAGAGATTGGGTCCAGCTTGGATTAAGGCTCTCTTAAAAACTCTCTATAGTCGTGCAATGGTGCAGTGAATATGTCCTCTGCGGGGAGCATGGCTGACCGTAGGTGTTTATGATGGCGGTATAATCATTGTATATTTCACTCCTGGCCCACATCTAATGAACCGTTATATGGTGTCTGGTGGGTTAAGTTTCACGTTGACCCACAGTCATTTGACCGAACCGCGCTGTTTCAGGTGGAGGCTTGGGCTGGAGGTGTCCCCACAACCACAATGTTTGTAAGTAATGTGATGTGTGACGTTTGTATAACACACTTTCCACTCGTACTTCGTATATGATCGCAACAATGTTTGTAAGTAATGTGATGTGTGACGTTTGTATAACATACTTTCCACTCGTACTTCGTATATTATCGCAACAGTGTTTGTAAGTAATGTGATGTGTGACGTTTGTATAACATACTTTCCACTCGTACTTCGTATATTATCGCAACAGTGTTTGTAAGTAATGTGATGTGTGACGTTTGTATAACACACTTTCCACTCGTACTTCGTATATTATCGCAACAGTGTTTGGAATGGTTACGCACCTTTTAAACATGTTCCTTTGCCTAGGAAAAAGTTAAACACTGTTACTAATCAATGCCAGTAGTGTGAAATTTCTTTCAGGGTTTTCCGTTTTTAGTACATCTGTAGGACATATCTATTTTTTGCTACATGATATACTTTGCTAAGACATTGTTGGGTTTGGGTTAAACTAGTTGTTTTATTTAGTTTGGTAAGGATCCACGACAAACTGTATCTGCGTTGAGAAGCAACAGCGTGCGACGTTTTGTCATATGAAGGAAAACCAAGTTTGATTTCTATGCATAGTCGAGTGCGACGTTTCGGTGTAGGTATAGATAATGGTGTTAGTACCTACACCGAAACGTCGCACTCATTGCAATAAAGAAGTTGACGATCCATAGAACCTGGTTTTCCTTCATCTTTAGAACTTCTAAAATGCCTCTCAAAGAATTTTTGTGAGAGTTTGTTCATTCGGAAACATGTAAAATAATTTTAAACTACTTATTTTATTGATAATTTTTACTAAATAATCATATGAATTTCTATGAATAACTAGCTCCATGTGTGCAAAGATTGACCTAATAAGTATTTAAAACGTGTCCACCTGAGAATACCGACCAAAACAGAATCTGTCGGGCAGGAAATGTATAATACCGGTGAACATATATGCGAACAGATCACTGAAAAGCACATGGTATGATCATTCAGCATTTTCAATGTTCCCTTTGTGAAATAGCATTACTAGTAATCGCAGGGTTCTTTCGTGTAGCTATTATCGTGCCACAAGTCATGGCACGAGGGGCGGTCATGACTTCTAACTTCAAATATCTGTTCCGTGGATGCAAAAGCTCTCCTTAAGTGTTTTGAAGAAACATCCTTCCAGGGACATTTTGGGTGATCTGTAAAAATGTGAGGCTGTTGACGCATCATTTTAATGAAATATAGCATAGTATCTCTCGAAACGCTAACTGAAAGAATGTTCTGTCTCAAGCAATGTCCCACTAAACCCATACATGCGTGACAGAGCAGCAATAACGGGTAAAGGTAAACATCATGGTGAAACGATGGATGATGATTATTGAAGGGCAACATGCAGAAATTGATGAATGGTTTAATACATTGAGTAGATTCATTAACAGAATGATATTAAGCGCACAGACATGTAGTAAGTCATACCTCTCAGATAAGTATTTAAAGGGTGGATACAATAAACCACACATCTGATTATTCCTCCACCTGGGTTAAAACATCGTAGAATAAACCCGTTGGTTTAATGGAAACTAACCCGCATTACAGCGATAAGTGCCCCAATCCGTGTTTAAGATATCAGAAAACGACCAAAGGTTAGATTATCGTTCCTAATTATATGCCTAGGGCAGTATGTAATTACGACGAACTATGTTAAATGTTTCATAAACGACTGAAGATTCGCTACAATATTATACCTGTCCCAAATGCATGTCTTTGGTGACCCCACCGTTTAATGAGTGGCCACTTCCAGTTCCTAAATAATGTTCATATTTTGGTTTACGTGTTTTGGATAATTATGTATCTTATAATGGAGAAGACGTGTTGTTTAGTTGTATTGCGTCATTTAGAGGCTGTTGACAAATAAAGTTTTTGTCAATGTTAAAAAGGTGAGAAAGCATTATTAATGCCACACTACTAAATAGCGTTTCTAACACTGATAATGCTTGACCAAATGCAGCTGACATATGTGTAAAACGCCGCTTTGATCAGAGTGAGTTCATGTTTACGCCGCTTTTAGCCCCATTCCAGCAATATCACGGCAGGGGACACCACAAATGGGTTTCACACATTGTACCCATACATGTGGGGAATCGAACCCGGGTCTTCAGCGTGACGAGCGAACGCTTTAACCATTAGGCTACCCACCGCCCCGCTTTGATCAGATGACGTGGTAGCTTGGTAGTGGCGGGAAAACAGTGATACAGTCTTTGACCTTTACAAGTCTGAATTATATAGTGTATTATTTGATCGCGTTTTCAAAGTAACAAACCTTCTGTTCCTATAGGAAGAATATTACAACAATACGATCGCCTCCATGGTGTAGTTGTAACAGTGTCTAGAGAGCCTGTGGCCGGCACTGACAACACCGGCGTGGATGACTGCAATAACATTTCACACCAAGTTAACTCAATTTTACAACTCATATTTCCACAAAATGCAAATTTACAAGATTTCAATGTCTCGAATAAAATCATGATTGTTATCCCTAAACTGTTGCAGGCATACGTTCTACTGGTGTCTGTCCTCGTTGGAATCGTGTCTTCCCAGATTCATCCTAGAGACTTGGGACATTTTGGACCGAATCCAGGTGATGTCATCGACGTTGTGCCTGATCACTCCGCTGTAGGTGGAAATGGCGACTTTATTAAAGACCCTGTCGATGTCCATGGTGGTGACGGTATCCACATTGTCCACGATCCACAGTCAAACAGCGTTGTAAAAGATGTTGTTCCCGATCCCGGCAATAGTGGTGTGGTAGATGTTGTCACAGGTTTATCATCTGATGTGGTAGACGTTGTTCGCGACGTTGTACCTGAATCCGGATCTGATGCTATCGTTCACGACGTCATCCATAACATCATACCTAAATCATTTTCCGAAAACGTTGTTCATGACGTCGTCCCAAGCTCAAACATTATCGTCCATGACGTTTTACCAGCCTCCACATTTCCCAAAGCTCCTCCAGCTTCTGGTATTGTCAAGGACATTATACCTAGCGCAGCTTCCCTTAAACCCGACTTCCCTGCTATGCCACATCCAGATTTTCCCGAGCCGTTCTCCGCTTCATCCAGCGCCCTGACAACGTCTCCTAGTCTAAAGACCGCTGTTGTTTCAGCCCCTGTTGTCAACGCTGCTATCCTCAAGTGCGGCCTCCAGCCAGAGCCTTATGTTCTGTATCAGTTCTCTCACTTGTCTTACAGCTACCCAAAGTAAGTGAAACACCTCGCTGTATTCATCTTCGCAGCTCTGATACACCTGACATGGGTCCAGTGCGTGACGCGTTAACCTAGGGTACCATAGTTTGATTCGGCTGGAATACCACGAAGAGGCCGAACACACTACTACCCACATTTATCTATAGAATGTTAATGTTCAACAGCATTCGTATATTTCACTTAGTTTTTCCTTTCTCTCTTGTTATCTTTGCAGAGTTATTGCGCTTAAAAAGAAGTTCATTATGGTTTTATTTTGATTCTTTGTCATCTTTGTCTCAGTCCAGATAATCCAGTGATTATCTGTTCCAGACTTGATTGTTAATGCCCAGCTGCAGCTATTGATTGTACTTAATTTTCAGACATGATATCATCTTCGAACTTGAGCAACGACCAAAGATCAGAGCCGCCATATTTGATTTAGGAACTGGTGGTCGATTCAGGGGTAAATACAACCTCCAGCCACACATGGCCATACATGGACAAAGGTATGCTTGTGTTTGTTCCTAACGAGAAAGTAATAATAAAAAAGAACAAATATATATGATGCACATTTCCAGATACATGTGCATGCCAGTTTAGCTTATTCCGATGAATGGTTAAGTGTGCAAATACAGGTTTTAGATGTTTGGAAGACAGCGACAGAGGTAAGAAATTCTCATCTAACCTTATGCGAATTGATTTTTAGAGTCTCATAGGCCAACATATGTCTCGACGAACTTCATTTGCATGAATATCTTGTGTAAATATTTCATATCCATATTACACTACAACCTTCCGTCTCAACTTGGGTGTTCACAATTACAGATTTAAACGTCAAGCAGCCTACTCTGATGGCTGCCAAGGACAGTCCCTGACCTTGAGACGCTTCTACTCCTACAACAACTACTGCTGGGTCATCAACCCCGTGTACCAAGACGTCAGCTTCTACAACTGCGGGTTGGTGTTGGCTTTGGTCTTCACATTCATAAAAGAAATGCAGCATTAAACATTCCAGGGCCATACTTGTACAGACATGGTTTTGTATGAAAATCAGTGTGTTCCAAGTTAGTGAGGGAGATTTGGCACTCAAGTTGAGCTAGTGAGAAATCTAGGTTTCCACTTTTTTACCTAACACGAACTGGAAGTGGAGTCTGATGAGAACGTAGACAGAGTTGTATTGAAATTAAAGATCTGACTTAATTAGATCCCTAACATTTATTGAACGCAGGGAAATATTGTTTATCTGGAAGAGGCCTTTTTGGTGAAATTGTAGAAAGATGTGAAATTTAGATGACTGATCACACCAACCAGTGTATAGCAAAGCCAGTAGGATCTAGACAGATAGAGTGTAGCTGAATAATTTATATAATTAGCAGTTTCTTTATAAACCGACCAATCAAACAAGTGTTTTCTTTTGTATGTATATAGAAGCTGAAGGTATTTTGTCATTTTTCAGACATGGGTGTTCGGCCAAAGCAAGCTATGGTACAATTAGCCGTTGTGAGGCCAGCTACAGACAGACAGGGGTGTGGGCGTACTGTGCTGGGTTGGCCTACGGTGAAAGGATCACCAAGGTAACCATGCTAATGCCAACAGCCTGCACGTGCAAGACGTATCAGTGCTCATAAAACAGAAATTTGCAGGAATATTGTTTAAATTCTTTTTTCTAATTTTATACAGGGGTTCAGAAATAAATTTCTTGGCATGTATGTTGTCCTCGTCTTTTAACACAAACATTAATATGTACATGCAAAGTGACCGTGATCTAGTGGATAGTGGATCTGATAGGAGAGCAGAAGTTCGGTTCGAACCTGGATCCCCAAAAGACGTTAAAAGATGGCACTCGTTCTTACCCAGCTCGGCAATGACACATACGAAAATGCATCACATTGATTAAGTGAAGAGCGGCGAAATGGATTTTAACGTAGCTTTAAAAAATACTGCGCCTTAGCATTGACATACCTGTAAGTGTGTGTGTACGTGCGTGAGTGGCCCTGAATAAGTGCTCACCAATCTGTGCTGGTTGTGAGAGGAGACAAAATGGATCGATCACTGGTTTGTCTGGTCCGTTAGATTCCAGTATTTACAAGAAGTCGTCGTACAGGTATTTTTGCCAAATGCGGGATTATATAACAAAAACAAACAGTAGATTTAATTTTTGTTTTCATATCATACTACGAGTCAATGAAAAAAATGGTCTGTTGCGCTCTTTGAGCACTGATGTATGAGGATGTTCCAATTTTATATATACTAAGGGAAACAAATAAGGGAACACCACTTCATGGCAGTTTTCCTTTATTTGTTCTCAGATTTCCTCTCACAACGCTATTCAAAGCTGGTGATGAAAACTAGGAAATATTAAAGGAACACTTGAATTTTCATGTGTTCCTATATTTGTTACTCTCAGTACATATTGCACCCAACCGTCTTGTTAGAAAAAAACAAATTCTGTAGGTTTTGTAATAGTTCTTGAGTACAAACGCAGATTTCAAAGGCCCTTTCCTTTCACATAATTTAAATTTAATTTCCAAAAGGAATTATGTCGTCATTTTAAACCAAATCCTTCTCAGCCTCCGTGTCGTTATAAGAGAAAGAAATCACAAGAAAATCAATGGAGATTAACATATTTAATTACAAACACAAATACTGGAACAAGAATCGAAATATGCGTAGAAACAAAATATTTATACCTTGAAATGATCACTGGAGTGACTGAGTGAGTCGTTTTAAGTCACCTCAGGGATACTTTATTACAAGAACACGTTATTTACAATGATACTTATATTAGTGAGTGACTGAGTTGATATTTAACGTCACATGGGCGATATTTCAGCCATATCGTGACGAGAACAAGTCAATACAAGAGAACAATATCAAAATCAATAAATGTAGAACGTTAAAAACTGTCATTGCAGGGCAGTAAAAATACTAGAGCATCACAGATATACAAACTAGTACGCTATCATAAAATTAAATCACTATAGACAATACAAAATAAAAACGGGCTATAGATCACAAACAACTGAAGGTAGATCACCATACTAGGGTCCATGGATACTTACATTAGAAGTGTATAGGACAAAGTCGACAAGGGTATTAAACTTTATATGTACCCTTAAGAAGATATAACTATACATAGCAAAACAGTTTAGAAACAGACTATAGATTACCAGCACATAAGTCACCATACAAGGAACCAAAGCGAGTTAAGGTAACTATGTTACTTAAACTGTTATCTAAATGGTTCCCAAGCAGAATGCATACTAACCCTTCAGCCCGCGACAAAGCTTGGTACATTACATCAAAATTTAAAGAAGGCAAATCAACTACGCTTTAAGCACTGGAATGCATAAATATTCTTTGAATGACCTGGAACTTGCAAACCCACCTCGAAGGAAAATTATTTTACGCTACTTAGATACGTAAAGTACAAATACATGCAGTCTTTCTTATTACTTAAGCATTACGTTTGAAAACACGAGTCTTTGTACAAAACAAATTCGTTGTAGATAATCCAATTTCGTCTCAAACGTGAATAAATGAGTTAAATACGCGGGTATACCTGATGAATATGTTCTAACACAAAAAAAAGTCATAAAAGACCCCACTGGTATACAGAGGAATGTAGCTTTTCAGTCCTTCCATCAGGATCGTAGTCACAAACTCCCTTGAATTATGGTTTGTTCTATTTAAAAACAACATTTGAAGCACACTCATTTGTGCAGAAAAACCGGACAAATACAGACCTAGTGCATGCCAAACTAAATATGTAAACATTTTATTAAGTTTATTTTCAGCCATGAATTCTTTTATTTTCCTCCATATTTAATAAATTTGATTGGGATTTAATAGCACTGGCGCCTTAGTCAGCTGGCCCACCGCGCCCATTACGAATATGTCTTAATGATCAGGTTACTTCTTTGAAAAAAATGTCTTTTATACGAATAATTATGATTAATTATTCTTTAGAGTCTTGTCACTGAGAGCCAAATGTACTTGGAATTCATCAAACTTAATTTCAAAAGGCAAACTATTATAAGGACAGTGTTCTCGAGATGTTCAAAATGAGTCGCATTCTGTTTAAACATGCATCGATGATTCTGGTTCATTTTCATAAAAGAAACAAACGTTATCATGTAAAAATGCTTCCTCCGTGTAGATGTCAATATCGGTAATTTGCATCATTTGTTACAAATAGTTGAATAACACTTGAGAAAATTAAGTTTTTCATTAAAGAGTTTTGAACCTTTTGACAATTTGTAAAATCACATCTGAAGGCCAAGATAAGAATTAGTCACCAGTCATCAGTCAGTTATGTTTCCCACTTAGTGGGAATAATATGTAACATTCTATAGTCCATAGTCTATGTAGCTTAAAGGCTATCCAAATAAAATGAAGCCTTGTGCAATGATTGTTGAAAGTTTTTGAATTTTTTTGCGCAATGAATTTTGTCCTATGGTGGAAGCCACAAACCTCATGAATCAATGCCAGTAAATGACTATGTAGGTCTGGTTGGTCCTCTACGAGAACACGAACAGTACTACAGAGACAAAATAAGCATAAAATACGAAGTATTTTGTCTTTGACTTAACACTCAACAAAACTGAGGTGAGGGAGATGAAATGTGGTTTAATGTCGTGGGTTTTTAGTGCTAGCTCACTGAGATACCATGCTGCAGTTAAGCATGAATACCCCACCCAGACACATTATACTGAGTCAGGGCCGACCAATCCTTGTTTTACCCATTCATGCCCAGCACCAGGCAGGGACGAACAAGTACCATATTTTAACGTCTTTTGGTTTGACGCAGCCGGGGATCGAACCCGCGACCTTCCGCTCTCCGGGCGGACGCTCAAACCACTACACCACGTAGGCGGTCACCAAAACTGTAACTATTTTCAAACCAAGCCAACAATGACAACATTAAATGTTTATACTCAGATCTCTGTTAAATAACTTCAGAACTTATTTCAGAACTGCTTATTAGCAAACTTAACAGTTTATATCCAAATATGTTTCTGAATGTATCACATACATTTTTGACTGACCTAGATAACATTTGACTACACCTACACCCTGGTCGACTTTTTCCTTTCTATCAGATGTTGAAACAAACTGATAAACTTAAATCTTTCATCCAAACAAGGAGTTGATTTCAAAATCATCCTTAAACCCTGTTTTAGTTTGTTATGATGATCGTGTTCTTATTATGTAATATATATCAAATCTCGAGTGTGTGTAATCTGTAAGAACTTTGTGATAAACAACGATTACCTGTTTCGTTTTATTTAGCATTTTGTATGTCTTTGTTACCGCCATAACCTGGGGCCTGTGTCAAATGGCACGCCAATGATTGGTTATTTCAAAACACTTCTTTTTGTTTCAATAACAAGCTACATCGTAAGGAAACAGGATCAATGTTCTTGAAAATGATAAACAGGTTTTTGATGATAGATAGTTCACTAAGATGCACATGTTCTTGCTAATATATACCTCACTGGGATACTGTTGTACTTGATAGTGTATATGTCACGCGTAAACACTTGCGTCTGTGTATATGTGTGTATATATTACAGGGAATGTGTGAAACCAGGGATTTCACGTAATCCCTAAAAGATTCAGTGATTTCGTGAAATCACTGTGACCCCCAGGGATTTCATGTATTCCCTAAAATTTCAAGGGATTTCATGAAATTACTGATTTTCATGGTGTCTCATTACACACATTCCCTGTTAGGATATCAGTGAATGTGTGAAATTAATGTTTGTAGTTTAAAACTTTACTGTTGAGTCTCATTTGATCCCTTAGGTCTTAGGAGTTGAAAACTTTGACAATTTACCGATGACCTTTTTGGCTAATTACTACCTTGAGTCGGGGTAGCAAGTTGATTTACTTACGACTTTACTGTTGAGTCTCATTTCATCCCTTAGGTCTTAGGAGTTGAAAACTTTACTATTTACTGATGACACTATGTCAAGCTAAGAGAGGGAAATCACCGGGTTTCGATAATATTCCAGCTGATGCTTTGACAAATGACATCTGTATAGATTATCTTTTATAATATTATGATAAGGGTCTTGGGTCCAAGTGAGGGTTCTGGTGAAACCCCTTATCTAACTCGCGTGCTGGTCTGCTTAGGGGAATTGACTCAGCAAAGAGTCCGAAGTCACAAGAATCTAATCACAATTTTATTTACAAGAATGGAATAACATGGGGTGGCCACAGAGAGTCGGTACAACCCTCTGGGCTGGGGGCTTGAGCTGACCTGTGTTGGGAGTCTAAACCCTACTGACAAATAATTGGAGTTTGTTACAATATATCTAAATTTGAAACAAGGAAGAGGTTATGATTCGTTGACTGATACAAAAATGGGTGTAACCTACAATAACCAATGAAATACAGATTATGCAGAATGGGATGTGTCCTACAAGAACAACTTAAATGACCAGGCAGGGAAAGTACTTAATCCTGTTAATCCTATTTCAACTGGCACTAATCTTGTTGGCACATTTCCTGGATGCTTCCTAATTTAACTGGCACTAATTGTGTTGAAATCGCGGCATCACACTTGCTAGTGCATCTTATTGTTATGATTAATAATTTGTCGTTGGGTGTTGATATAAGGATATCAACGTTGAGTATCAATATTCCTTTTGTAGTTTCAAAAGTTACAGAGGTTGTTTTTAGCGATTTCGCTTAGAATCGAAACTGAAAGAATTTGCTTTTACTGTAAAGATTTTATTGAAGATGAGTGTCATGTTTTATTGCATTGTCTTTTGTATGCTGATGAGGGATTGTAACTTTTATCTAATGTACAAGTCTTTTCAATCTGTGTATGTTGAAAGAGTTAATCTTTATTTCTAGTTTGTCCAGGTGTGTCGTTTTTATCCGCCCAAACCTGCCTCAATATTCTTTAAAAGCGTACTACAAATTTGTATATATCTTCTTAATGTAACTTGTACCCTTTTCATTGCATTTTTTAATATTCTTATATTATACTCTGTATATTGTGGCACAGGTGTCTCTCATAATTCCGTACGGAAAGGCTCAACATTTTACTGTGAAATAGCATTTAAAAATTTAGCGAGGTTTTAAAAAAAAAATGCTTTTCTTTATTCAAAATAGACGTTTAAGCATAAACAGATTAGGCCATTGAGAAGGAAAAGGTATTTTGTCAAAGCACATATTTCGTGTTTGTCCTCAGCGTCTTCACTCTACGAATGTTGTGGCAATGGACAAAGAACTGTTTCTCCACGCAGCTGTGATTTTCGAGTCGAATTGTGGTGGTCAGGGTTTCCAGAAATGTAACTGTGATCCTAACCAATGTAAATCTATACGTTGTAAATGTTTAAAGTGCTACTGAAGTGTAATAGCTTGTATCATAACAGTCTATCTTGTCCAAACAAATAAATTTTATCCGCATATACTCTGTACTCGCATTATAAATTTGGTGTTCTCTTTTTCAATAAAGGCTTACAGGGATTTCATGAAATCCCTGAGCTAATATTTCAGTAATTTCATGAAATGCCTGGAAATTTTAAGAAATACATGAAATCCCTGGGGGTAACAGGGATTTCATGAAATCACTGACTCTTTTAGGGATTACGTGAAATCCGTGGTTTCACACATTCCCTGTATATGTGTGTGTGTGTGTGTGTGTGAAATAGTGATTGTCTACAAATTGCTTTTAATGAAAATTCTTTACATTGTTCTACACCAGTAGGACACTGCATTAGGCTGCTACTGTACTTCATGGCGAAAACATCTTTAAGCTCTTTAAGAAACAAATGTTCTTGATATTGGACACTTAAAGACAAGATGCTCTGACAATAATGGAATCAGAGTATTTATATTTTCAATAAGAGAAAGACATTACATAACGAAGTAATGATGATGTTATAGATGTTATCGCAAACACAATATCAATAATGATTACACTGAGCACTTTCGAAATGTACTCTAAACACTGTCATCTCTCAATGATTTTGAGAGGAATAGTGACACCGAATGCATTAACTTTGTGTGAGGTCGATGACTATAATTCTATGATATACACAAAAAACAACTGATAATATACTTGCAATAAACACATTGCCCTTGTTTGTTTAAACCCATATTAATTGATAATCTATAAACACCAAATGTTTGTTAAATTACAAAATGTCACTGTCAATAATAATTGTCATAGTGCATGATATTTTTTGACTGCGAAAATAAACGCTCACAAACGGTAGTTCTGACGAGTTTTTCGAATTTCACTTACTCATTATCAAGTCGTTTTCAAAATATTATGCATAATTGACTAACATATTTTAACAATACAACAGTTTTGGTTTTCATCCATTGTCTCTTCGTTAACAATGAATGATGACATGTCGCACATTGGTCTCAAGAATGAATCAGTTAGATCATCCTCTTTGGCCGAAATGTTACTTATCCAAGTCCGTGCACAGTTAAAGCTGTTGTCCTCTTTCGATTCTCCATCTGCCACCTGAACAACACAGATCAGCGCGGCTGTGGACATTACGATATCTCTAACCTTCTGAACTCTGCATACAACGGTCTGAGAGTTTCTAAACATTCCTGGAAACATCGCGCTAAGGAAGCAGTGCTAACATTTGAAGCCAACTCGCCGAGACATAGACTTAACGACGACCCTGACCTGCACGTGTTCTCGCAGCTACACAGCTACTTCTCTCCCCACTATCTGTGGGTCCTCAGCAAGTACGACCCAAAACACAGAAGTGAATACTACCGCTTGCTTCGCCTGATTGCCACACCCATAGTTGCAAGCTGGTGTCCTCACTGTGACTCTGGACAACCTGGCCCTACATCTGTTCTCTTGAGCAGAGAGATCATGTGGAAGTCCGTACTTGGCGTCTTTAGACCTGACACATATGTGACACTGGACACTATGGACCCTGAGAGTCAAACTCTAGCTCTCCTTGGTGGACATGAACTTCACTTTGACAACAAGTCACTTGCGATCAAGGTTGGACATTTTGGACATCATCAGACATAAACTCTCCCTTTCACCTCATTAACTCAAACATTTTCCAGCCTCACCTCATTATATCTCCTATTTATCAGGGAGGAATTAAAGACACTCACTCACCAAACTGCACACTCTTGGAATTAAGTACAAAACCTGTTTTTCATATCATCCAGGCGTTTTATATGTCACAGGTTTTAGTCAATGATGGCTTCTTCCGATTCATATCTAAATAGTGCTTCATTGATTGCTGCTTCGTCCTTCAAGAGGTCTGTCTGAAATTAGGAGGGATACGATGCCACATATACATATCACAGCATATGTAGATTCACACGTCCAACACAGAGTTTAATAAAAGTTCATAAAACTATCTCATCTCTCTCCAAAAATATAGTTTCTCATAATGATATCACACATAGTGAATGTATATCTTTTATGAAGGATGTATTAACAATAATGATATTGTTAATTAGTAAATGGAGTGCATATTTACCTCCTCTGAGCGCCGGATTCTTTTTGCCTTGATTTTCTCTATGTCTTTCAGCAACTGCCGAAGCTTTTCCTCTGGGAATACGGAATAATCGACATAGGCTGAAGCAAGTTGCCATTGATCCATAGACGTTTCTTCAGGGCATATGTAACACACGACAGGGCCAGACAATGAAAATCCCAGGTAGAATGAAATCGGTCTCTCAGTCATTTCCGGTCGCCTGCATTTGAAATTTCGTAATTCTAGCTCTTCATCTATGTCAAAGTCTTTCAAGTCCACGATAACACTTATTGTGCCACTGTTTGGTTTTAGTCTTGTGTAGCCTCGTACTAACTGTAGCTTTTCTCTAACTTGGTAGCTTTCCCACATTTCTTCTTGTTGTTTCCTTTTAAGGAACAGGGGCGAGAGGTGATAGGAAAATGATGACAGACCTCTACCTTTAGCTAAATAGAATAGAGCAATGCTCTGAAAAATATTGTTTTCTCGTTTGAATAACTCATTTTCACCTCTTGGTTTTCGCTGTTTGGTTGCTCTGAATTCATCAAACAAGAACTTCATAGCCTCCTTCATCAGTGTGTGATCATATGCTACTACTTGTTTCACCTGTGGCCACAGAAACATCACAATATAAAGATAGGCCATGCTTAACGCGATTCCTCTTCTTTCTGTGCGTATTATCTGAAGACAATACCCATACAGTTCTGAAACACTTGTTTGCTTTGCAGCTTTTAGTTCAGCCAGAGCAAGGTTAACAGCTATAAGAGTCAAACAGTCTTCCGCACTTTTATCTTTTATGCTCTTTAAATGTGTTTGAATCCTCCATAGGCTATCAGAGGGAACAGGCTTTTCTCCTTTCCTATTTTTCTTAGCGTTCCCCTTGTAGTGCACACTCTCGTGTATCTGTTCAGTTTTAGGGAAGGCAATTTTGAAGACATCTACCAGCCTCTTTCCATGCAGAGCCACAACACACCTTCTATGCCATCCGTCCATGAGTACATCCGATCTGATATAGGATGGTGGATCATTTGTGTTTTCTCTTTGGCAAAAGAACTTTACAAAATCCTGAAAGGAGTCAGGAAGACGTTTCTTAATAATCCTCGAATTTCTGTGTTCTTCATTTTGTTGATGGCTATATTTAGATACATAAGAACATTGACTGTAGTAAATATGTTCATCTAACACACCGACTGCACCCATGGCTGTGTCATACAAAGCCTTAAGTCTTGAATGGTAGTTTTCCCAGGATGCAGTAGATTCTGGAGAGTAACTGTCTTCAGTCAAATATCTGTGAACAACATCAGGTGTGCCAATGTTAACAATTTCACAGAGAAATCTAGCAATGCAATTGACTGTTGAAAGAGTATCGAAATATGCCAAGAGGTTCTTCTCATATTTGTCACACGTGCTTGCGTTTTGGAAATGGCCTAATGCACCTAGTGCCATATCTAATGCATCTGTCGTACTGGGATCGTCTGGTTTTCTCTTATCTGTTGATTCCCACAACTTCAGATTCAGAAAGTGATGTTTGTAGACACATCCAAACGTGTGTAAGAAGGTGGATCTCTTTGGATCCAGTGCCACTGCCTTTTGTGCCCACTCTTTGGCCAAAATGTATTCTTTGTGATGAAGATGTAAACGTGCCAGTTGATGAGCAATGAAACCATCTTGCATCAGCTCAAATCCTTTAACTAAAACGTTTGCACCCTTTGAATACAGTTTAGTTTCACTAATAATGCTTTCAATAAGTGGACTGAACTTTGTATTTTCACCATCTTCATATTCTTCCTTTTTTCGTCGTATGAGCATTTCAACACATAGCCGATGTAAATATTTTTTGGCAAAGGAAGAAGTTTTGAGTAGATCTGAGTCAAGGAAAGCAGTAGCAATACTGGCTAGATCATTCTTAAAATATTTAGATTGAATGCATTCTATCACAGCTTTTGCCAGATTTTGATGAGCCATTCGTATCTGTTTTCCGCTGCCATTTTCTTTTGCTTCAATTATCAATAATATTTTTAAAGGGCCTTCAAGATGGTTTTCCCAAAGGGAAAGATTTCTGGACTGGTTGTTCATCCTGGAGTTAAATCCCATATGTTCACTACAACATTCAACAGGAATCGCTATGGCTGCACCCCCATTTGGGGGACTTACAAATGATATGATAAGGGCAACATAAGCCAGCAGCTTGAATGACTTGTCCTCAAACTCCATTCGGCTCATCAAACTGCGAATTGTATCTCTGAGAAAATCCTGTTTAAAGTCTGAATGTAGAATCATGAAGGAAATAAAATATTCTCCTTTGAAATGTGTGAGACCCAAATCCCTGCTTGTGTCTTCTAGTTGCTGTATCTTCATGGTCAACCAGTCTTTTTCACCGTCTTCTACCTTCTGCAGCAGGTATTCATTCTCAGATACCTCTTGTCGTAGAGTTCGCTGAGGCATATTTAGGGTTTCATCTCTTTTGCAAACGAGGAAAACACATATAGGGGATCTCATGTGGCTATCAACTTTCCAAGATTCTTTTGTCACGAGGTGATGGATGTCATGCAACTCTAACTTTTGCTCCACTATTGAGTCAATAAGTAGCAACAGAGGTCTGGCGTATTTGATGTCCTTTTCTTTATAACGCCACAATGAAAGTATGTCTAAAGCAGTCTTTTCCTCCAGTTTTGTGATGATTGCACATCTGAACTCCTTGTGAAACTCCCAAAGGACATGCCTTACTAAAGTTGAACCGCCTGCACCCGGTTCATGATGAAGAAATATAGGCACAATTCTTGATATTTTGTCTGCTTTTTCTCCACTGAGGGCATCAAAAACTTTAGATTTCAGTCTACGAAAGCAATGTCTTTCCATGACATGTCCGTCAAAAAAGAAATTCCACCACTCAACCCTGTTACCTTGATAAAACTTCAATTCCTTCATTCTACTAAATGTTTGTCTATCAGATAGTTTTTCAAATGTTTTGTCCTCGCATTGTGAGTAACTCAAAAGTTGTAAACTGTCGATGCTTTCTAGAAATTTTAGTTCAGCTGTTACAGGTGCTCCACTGCTGGTTGGTATAGATGTTACAGTTTGTTTGTCAACACCTATTAGATTGTTGATAGAAGTACTGGTCTGCTCCCACGTCATGCCAACAACACAATTCCGTTCAATGTCTTCTTTCTCGACAATTTCTTGAACTAAAGCCATGCGTTGAAATTCTTGAAATACGCCTATTTCTTCACAAATAAGTACAATGTTTTCACTTCCAAAGAATGTTGTCATCTCTCCAAAGATATCCAAGAAACCATGAAAATCCGTTGCAAAGAGTAAAAACACCGCAATAGTTCTTCCAGGTGGAATAACTGATTTTTGCTGAAAAAAGTTTATTGCTCCTTTAACGTTTGGGGAGTATTCTTTTTTCCACTCATGTTTTGTGAGGTGAGGCATTCGAAATTCAGATCGCCCATTGCAAAATATCAGCACATTGTTTTCTGGGAGTTTTAATCGTTCTCTCAAAATGTTGTTGTTCTCAACATCTCGGAATATGTCTCCGTTTGTTAGAGTTGTTTGTGTACTGTTGAAAAAATGCTTGCACATCCCATTTCTAAACGATTCCTCATCAAAATCAAAAACTGCACACCAAGGAATGCTTGAGATGAAACTAAGAGAAGTAAACAGTGATGACTTTAATGCATCTGGTGGCTTGCTAGAAATTAGAATTGGCCAGAGTGAAGAATCAATTTGGTTGCTAGTTTTGCATAATTTACGACAGAGTTTTTCAGCCAAATATTTGTGATCATTTTGATCGGACCAATGTCTATCAACTGACCGTTCTTCTTCAAATTTGCGCTTATTGTCCCATTCCTTCAATTTGTCTACAAAGTGTAGTTCTTCTGCATCAGTACCAATCTTTTTTGTTTCGGGTCCATCACGAACAAACAGGAATGGTCTCTGTTTCTTCCCACATATTTTCGATAAATCCAGTTTGAAAATTATGCCTTCGCAAAAACGTGAATCAGGCTCTATGTCAACCTCCATAACAAACAATGGAACCTGGTCTGGTGAAGGGGCAACCTTCACAAAAACGGGTGCTTTGATACATTCCTTTGCAGCGCTGTTTGCTAATGGTGAGTCAAAACATTTTGATTTGGCCTCATTCAGTTCATCTGCGTACTTTATTTTACTGTCAATGTCAACTTCTATGATGGGGAACCCCACTATCTGACCATGCCTGCGTGTAATTCCACCAACAGGTTTCTCATCAGCAATTCCAAAATAGATGGTTCCATTTCGACGTCTGTTAAGGCAACCACAGGCAAAACGCAAAGTCTCTGTGAGAAATTTTTCTATTGGACTGTTTTCGTTACCAGTATCAAGACTTGATCGAAAGTATTTGAATTCTAAGGACGGTGTTATCATTCCACTTCCACTTTCTGTCACATCCATAACATAATCCTTGAAATATACTGTGCAAAGACTGTCCAGTTTAAATGGCCTTGGTCTCTGAAATGACACTCCATCCTGGGCTTTTGTATTAGCAGTTGTTTTAGAAACATGTGTTGATATTCCATACTTTTCCTTCATTTCACCATAATAAGTTAGACCAAGATCCTTCTCTTGGTGTTCACCTTCTTCTGAGGGAGTGGGGTCAAAACTCAAAGGTTTGATACATGTCAATGTATCGTCAATACAAAACATTTTGTTTGTGATATCCTTTATTGAAGCTTCCAAATGGTAATTTCCATCATATATTCTATACACATGGTCTTGGACTGGAGCAGTACTTCCAGGCAAAATAAGAATATGATTTTTGTAGTGATCTCTTTGTTTGAGAGTTATGTTTTCATATTTGATCATCTTTTCCCCAACTTGGCTCAGACGGATCGATTTTCGTCCTTTGAACTGAAATTGATATTCACCTTTCCCTTTCTTGAAATCAGATTGTACTTTATCAGGTAAAGTTTGTAACCAAGTCGATGTATTCTGGACAATCAAACTCCAAAGTTTCCTTCTCTTAGACGTGTCCTCAAAGTCGTTTCCTTTGCATAAAATCCAGAATAAAAACATTTGAGCCAGTTCATGACTTGGTTCCCAGGAACTGTGAATTGCAAGTAGTTGGTACTCATTCGGATTATCTTCACCAACGTATTCTTTAATATCTAATCCTAAGTGTTCCTGTATGAAGGTAATGGAAGGACTTTCCACAGTTGGTGAGGAAGTACTTGAAGAAGCATTAGGGGTATGACTAGGTAGTTCTGCGAAAGGTTCTCTTGTTGTATCAGCTGCTGATGGAATCTTCCTCTGATTCAAACCAAGGGATGGAATATGTCGTGTGTCACTTGCTTCATTTAAGTGCATTGTTGTTGTGGTAGTCATTGAGCTATCCTTCATCCTCTTCTTTACATACAGTAATAATTTCCTACCTAAAACCTTTTTAATATTCAAGTCCTTAGCAAGCATTTCATGATTCTCATATAACATTATTACAAAACCATCAATATGTTCAGTTTTAATAGCCTCAATAATCTTACCGAGGTTTTTGTCTTCCGCAAAAGAATCTCTTGCAAAATCACATATGTGATTTGGTGTAAAGGATTCCAGTTGTTCCCTACTCAATCCAAATGTTTTATCATCAAATTCTTTGGTGTTCAAATATAGAATTTTCCTACAAAGTCCCATGGGAAGTCCAAGTTCTTCTCTCATTTCATTGGAATCTGTGTATTCATTGAGCATGTCCCCATTTACGTATTTCACTTCATCCTTAATCAACTGTTTAGGTACTTTCACGCTGCGTAATAGCCACTCCTGGACCTCTTCCTCTGTTGCAGTATTGGGCAAGCCTGGTCCTTTAACATAAACAGAAGTAGTGAAAAATATTATATATGAATTAAATATAAAAGTGTCACGGCAGTACACCTCCAATATGCAAATTGGACACTTAACAAAAAGTGAATTTAGGGACAATAGTAGTAACTGTTATGTATAATAAGTACCTAATTTTCCATACTCTTTCGCATTATATAAATGTGCAAGAATTAATATATAACTGTAGAAAACTTCATGTACGAGGGGCGATCAAAACGTATGTAGAATCACCAAGAAAACGATACAAATGCAGTTATTTTTATGTTTTATTTTTCTACATATTATCTGTCAAGCACAAGCAATTTTGTTTTGCTATGTTCCAGTCTCACGATCCCCATTTTGGTTGACCTTTTCCCTTGGTACCCTCAAAAACCGCAAAATCTACAATAAATGCATGAAAAACTTCAGGAAACAAAATATGCAGGAAATATGTTGTGTGTTTGAGATTGATAGAAGTCCCCTAGAATGACACTTAGATATTAAAGTTCATAAATAAGCAATTTGAAAATACAATCGCTGGTTTAAGTGACACCCCCACCCCCCTTCATGTTGACCGAAAGAGCTTGTTTTGGAGACACTACCTTTCAGATGACGTAATCATAAGGACATTATTCTAATGTTTTCACTTATGCATACATGATGACAAGGGTTCAAACTAAATACTGAATGGTCACTCAAGTGTCAGCTCACAATACATTGTAAAAAGTGCCAGCTTGAATATCTGGACACAATGTTTTTGAAGATTAAAATGGGTGTGTCCTTAAGAGATAGCCCCCGACAAAGTATAAATCAGGCAGTCCAAATCTTTGATTGTTGATCATGACGGGAAGTCATCCAATACTATACTGAACATATTTTATCTGGCATTATCTGAGGGCTTACCGTTTTTCATTTTCTGCAATATTGTTAGAAATACTGTACACCAATGTGTTGTGATGACAAATATCTGGTTAACCACATTACCCACACATTACTCAAGTTTGGATATGGCTTTGGTAACGATTCCTTCGAAATATAATGGAAGCTTTTCAAACATTGGACATCGAGAATATAGTTAGGCTAGGTACTTTTTGATTGACCCTCGTACTTTCTAAGCAACGTTTACATCTATTCCATTTGAATAAGAAAAAAATCCAAATCGTTTAAAGGTATTTAAATGAAATGGAATTTCAGAAACAAATTTTATGTTGGAGTTCATTGGTCGAAAAAGCATTTGAAATTTCAGCCATGAAGAAGTGCATCAATCACCTTTTTTCTTAAGTAATGGTTTCTTTTCAGCGCCTTTCGTTCCTCCTTTGTTCCTTACAATGACATGGATTGTGTCATTTGGCTGCACGTTCTTCAGTGTGGATGGCCGTATCAGTTTGCCATGATGAGTCAGCATCTGTAGATCTGCAGGAATGCTGTCTTTGTATTCAATAGCCTCTTTGAGCTGAACCATATTCAGTTTTCCTTTCAGACATATTTTGTATGTGTTTCTTGATTTCACATACAAAGGGAATGTGTCATCATCAGTTGGTCTATATACCACATCCCTAACATGACCGAGGAATGATGTGTCTTCTTCTGAACAGATTTTCTGAAATGTGAATGGTAATTTCACAACGTTTGACACAAATGTTTGGCTAACTCCTCATCGCGCAATATGTCAGCTATATGACAAGAATTAATCAAATCTCAACAGGCTATTTCAATGATCATGAGGTAGGGGCGCGTTAAACAACAAACACGGTCAGTCACAAAAAGAACAAACGTTCCCAAGTCACCATCGATCTGCTACGTCGCCTCATACGGAAAGGCATAGGTTGAATTGGATGATACATTTTATTATGACATGGTTTTAAACCAAATGTTATACTCTGGTGGTCAATCTTTTATTCTGGTACTCAAAAGGCCTCAGGCCTATAGTACACTATGTACAATTGCTTTATACACGTTCAATGAACAAATTCGCTTTTCTATGTACAAATGCGTAGAAAATATACATGGACAGGTTTTCAATTTCTTCAGTATTTGAACTGTTTAGAAGTAGTGAAAACTTAAGCCTGTTTTGATGGGCATATATATATTTGCTTAGAAGATTATTGTTGTTAGGGCCTACAAGAGGAAAATGATACTCGTCTTCAATTGCATTTGAATAACATAACTGACAAGTTCTATGTTCTCTGTTCGTATTTACATATCTACCTTTCTCAATTAAAAGTTCATGAGATGAGCATCTTAAACTTACCCTATGCTTTTTTACATTTAAACATGACAGATAGAATTCGGTATGGATATTGCTTGAAGTAGATAATCTTTTTTGCCAGTTTTGAAAATACATATCTTTTAGTCTTTGAGTAAATGATTTGATGAATTCCGGATGTGTTCCAATTTCTTGGTTATGCCAAATATATCCCAATCCAGTAGAAAATAATAATTGTTTTATATCAGTCATACAGTTTTTTGTCCATTTCTATCATATAAAAGCATCTTTCTATAACATTTTTTGGGTAAGCGATAGGTTGGCATGTTTAATAAATGTATCCAATACCGAATTGCTTTCCAATAAGAGTATATATAGATATTAAGGAAACCTGCCACATTCTACATAGATCATGATATTTGGAGTGTTTTGTTTAACACCCAAAAACTTTGTAGAGGCATACAAATGTACCATTTCTAATTTTCCAAGTGTATGTAAACCCCAAATTTCTGCGCCATATGAAGAATAGAATATCTTTTTACATCAAATATGTTGAAAAATGAATTCATACTGAGGAATTACAACTGTCCTTTGACGACAGCGTTTTATGGTAAAGGTTTATTTAGGTTTAATGTATAGATTGTTCACGTCACGGTATGGCTGAAATATTGTCGATGTGACGTTAAATATTAATTCACTCACTCACTACTGTCGACATAACACATATCAACAGCTAAGTGCAATTTGACGACTCGCCGTCGTTTCAACCCCATATCCACCTGCACGGATGAATTGAAGTATGTATGTATGTATGTGTGTGTGTGTGTGAGTGCGCGTGCGTGCGTGCGTGCGTGCGTGCGTGCGTGTGTGTGTGTGTGTACCTTTGGGACATGGTGACTTGTGACTTTTTTCTTCTTCCTGAATGCATGTCGTGGTGTTTGCATTAAACTGCCCCACAGTTTAGGTGTCCGCAAGTGCATGTTCTTGCGTTTAGTTTTCTTCTTCTTGGTCACCATTGTGGCCTTTTCGTGAGGTATATCAGACCAAAACAGGTCTTTTTCTGATCTGTACTTCTCATATGTCATCTCCATGTTACGGTTAACAGTAGATTCACGAGTCTCATAGGGGGAGTCCACGCACTGAACCAGGTAATCTGGAAGATATGAACAGCTATATGTAGGTGACAATACCACTAATACAGGTCAATACAGTGCCCACATAACTGTATTTACGGAGATTTCGATTGTCGACCCTTCTGTTGCTCGAGTGCCAGTGTCATAATATTAATGTATGTATCTGTGAATACTGTACAATATTTGCCAAGGACCATTGCGTTTTTAATGACATAAGTAACATGATGCTTTACAACGAATCACATAGTACTGTTAGAGAGACAGTTGATCTGATAACAATGGATTTGTCCCTGAAGTGCCTTTACGTTAAACCTAGGTGGTCGTTGAGGGCCACGCCTGAACATACAGGTGGTGAGACAACAGCAGTCACAACTATGGGCTCAGTAGCGTGTCTGTGAATCCCTAGCACACTGCAGCTACAATACTGACAACCTTCGAAACATGCAAGTGCACCTGCCCGCCATGCTCTCAAGCATCACGGTTGACTCAATCACTGCATGTGCTTTCTGTCATTCGTTATTCATGATTTTATGTCATTCAAGCCTCAAACGTTTAACTTGAAACATTCCACGATCCCTATTAATGCTTGAACAGTATCTATATTAATATTCTAAATATAACTTCAAAAATCAATATTTGTCAAAACAGTAGTACGGTTTCTTTAAAGCTTAATTTATACCAATATAAACAGTACAGAAATACACTGGAATCTGTCTATTACGGTGAAATCTGGAATTGTAAAGCAGTCCGGATTAGACAACAGTTACTTTTGTCCGTTACCGTGTTCTCTGCCACGATGAGTTACCTCCCTTTGTTAAGGACATTCAACAATTTGAATCGTTGTGTTTTGTTTTTTATTTATACTCAATATATTATTTATACTTTCATTGGAAGAAGTCTGTTAACATGAACTGCTTCTGCCTCTGTAAATGTCCACGTAATACAATGTTTTTAGTCAACCATTGTGAACAGAAGTAACAGAGATGTTTATTCAACGGACTGTTATTTTTTATTCAGCTGCGACAGGATTACAAAGCATTGTTCTCATAGCAAGTTTAAAAAGTGTCGGGACTGTTATTTTAGTCAGCTACGTCCGGGTCACAAAAGCATTGTTTTCATAGCAAGTTGATTGTCGGTACTGTTATTTTAGTCAGCTACGTCCGGGTCACAAAGCATTGTTCTCATTGCAAGTTGATTGTCGGTACTGTTATTTTAGTCTGTAATCCGTAATTGAGAGGGTCCGGATTATAAAGCACGCTTAAATGATAAATTAAGAACAATTTTGGCGTAACTCAGAGAGTAGTCCGGATTATGGAGAACACCGGATTACACAGAGTCTGGATTTGACCGATTCCACTGTAGGATAAATGACTACTTAGTACGACCCAAGGAATATCTTCTTAGACCATGTTTTCATTATAAGTAACAGCATATCGATACCACGGAATCCAGTAATAGGATATCTGTTAGTAAGACGGATAAAACCTTCATCTGCGATTCTACATACTTGTTTATGTGGATAGTGTTGTGATGCTGGGACATGTTAAACTCGACTTGGAATGGACATTCGCATGTGCACAAAATGACTCTCTGCGTGAATTGATGTGAATGGATTTGTGTGGTTCTAGCCAGCCGTTGATATTTATTGTCTTACACCACTCCCATTTATTTATCTCGTGAAGATCCGGGTTAGAATTAAATGAACTTTCAGCCAATGGTACTTAGCCTCTTTTGGCAATTCAAAATGGCTAATAAACATGGCTGTGGAAAATTTGGAGTAATCCGAAGAAATGTGAGTAATCCGAAATAATTGTTCGGCTTTACTTCATAGTTAATGCGGAAATTGAGTTTTCTATAAATCTCTAATTTAAACATATTCTGTGTTTTTGTTGATCAAAAACGTGAATAAACTGATACACTTTCAATTCAAAACAAATTTACACGTAATAGAGCGCACTAAGTTTTGTACTAGTTGAGTGCATAATTTCCAATTGCAGAATCGGAACATCCATTCCATTTTAGTAGCATCAATTAGCTTCTCATGGAATTTAGCGATGGGGCCGTTTCCGACATGCTTCTGCTATCGTCTTCGCCATGCTTGTGGCCATTGCTTTGACTCCGAGGTCCATCCATGATACGACCCTAAACACGTCCAGGGCGTCATGGAAGCTGATGCTTTTAAACGTCTTTGGAATAAGCCCATATACAGCCTAGGAAGAATTCCAGCCCCAAAAACTGATCTTGGCCTTTTTGATGAAGATAAAGAATTTATCTATGTCATTGAATTTTCTGTCCCTTTTGAAAGCAACGTGATTGGCAAGATCGGGAAAAGCATGCTAAATATGTGCATTTGAAATGTCCAAGTATACTGTTGTCAGACTCCCCATTGTTCTCGGTGCCCTTGGTTTGGTACTTCCTGAACTCTTGCTGCAGATCAGGATATTGCCCGGGTTCTCCACCGGGAGCACAGCCCTTCTGACACTCTGGGTAATGCAGAAGGCTGCAGTGTTGGGGAACCTACATATTCTCCGGAAAGTTTTTGGTGGGTTCGACTGGGAAGCGTCCATTCGCTGTCTGGGCAAGGGTCCTGAGGGGGCAAGGGTCCTGAGCTAATGATGAGCCTTACCAGAAAGAGAAAGTGGTTCTGGCAAATATCTAATACATGTATATAAACTATAGAAGTTTTACTTAAATGAATATGTTGAGATATGATTCTCTTACAGTCCAAGTGTCTTTTAAGTACTTTGTGAGACCTCCTTGCCCTGCAATACACGACTGAATCTGCCTAGGGACACAACCAATTAAAGTTTGCAGCAAATAGCTGACATCGCATCTCAATATTCAACCACTTCTTTCTTCATATCCTCAATACGTTCTTTTTGGTTTATTCTGTCCTTCATTAGTCCCCACACATTCTCAATAGGGTTTAGATCTTGGCTATTGCTGGGCCAGCCTAAAACGTGAACATTTTCTTCCGACAACCACTGTTTTGTGTGGCTCGAAATGTGTTTTGGATCGTTCAATTATTATTGCAAAATCCAATTATGTTCATACAGTGTTCAGGCCGTTGGAAGGATGTGATCATTTAAGATGTCACAATTTGACCAAGTCGTCGGCGACCCGTAATACTGAACTTTTTACCTCCCTGTCCCTGTCTTGTGCTCAATCCCAACTCCTGACTGAATATTCTTCGATGTTCTGCATACTGTAGACAGAGGAATGTCATGTCTACCATCTAACTCTTTTTGCATTAGTCTCACACCTTTCAAAAGCATCTAGAACCATTTTCTTTTCTCTCCTACTGTCAAATCTGCCATGTCAACAAAGGAAGCCGTCTGCTGCGCCAGGGGAGATAACTCTTTATGTTGTAAGATTCACTCTTAAGCCTACAAGAGTTGCCTCCCATATTGAGTATCTCACTACATCATGTAACACCTATTATAAATTCCATTATCAGCATTAGGAAACATAGATTTTCTCAGTAATTTCTGGGGAAACGATACATAGAGAAGGCAAGTCCGAACAGGAAGGTTTTGAGTTGGGTCTTAGAAGATGACAATGATTCACAGTCTCTCAGGTACTGGGGCAGAGATTTCCAGACTTTAGTGGCTGAGTAGTTATGTATTAGCTACGCTGACAAATTTTTTAGAATGGGGATTCCCATGTTAAATTTTTCGATAAAAGAGAATATACCCCAATTAGCGAGTTCTGCCAAATTTTGCGGCGAGCGACCGTCGCCCACTAATTAAACACCTCGCCGCGTAGGGTAAACACCAGTCCCGGGAAGCTAGCGAGAAAAGTACACAGATGTCCGGTCGTACAATAAACACATCGCTGCTTATGACAATCACCTACCCCCGGGAAACGAACGAGAAAAGTACACAGACGTCCGGCATCGAGACGTAGTTAAAAGTATTCTAATGAGACCGCAGTTAATTAATTACATATACACGTGCTCTTATAGTATGAACAGAACATCCAAACTGTAGAATTTGAAAACGACAATTAAATGTGAATGATAATGGCAGTTAATTAGCTTAAGTCGTACAGATCGGCACCGTTGATGGAACATGCGTTAGCACTGACAAAGTCGAGTCATATGAGTTTGAACATCTCGTCAAGGAGTGTTGTGCGTGCGCCAATGTCATTCTAGAGCGCTTACACTTTAGTTTAAAATGACCTACCTGTGTGATACGTGTTCTGGTCTGCTACCAGTGGACGCTAACGGTGAAGATTACCAAGGACTATTTACTTGTGTGTATTGCAAAACCAAATTGAAATACACGTACCATCGTTTTCTGACGCATAGCGGAAAGTGTACCGTGAAGAAAAAAAAAGTATCTTCTAAGATTCACTCATGCACGTGTAAGAGAGTGCACTACACGGACTAATCCTGATATACAAGAAATTTTTGTGTCGGAACTGAGACAATAGACTGACATATTGACGCATTTAACTATGCTTTATAACATCTCAAAGCGTCAAGAACGCCAAGCAGGGTCTTCATCAGGGACGCTGTAAGGAAACAAGAAACAGGTTCAAAGGTCTTATCATGCATGGGTTCCCACAAAGCCATCAACTGAAGCAATGTCCTATATACACACGGATCCTAACCAGATCGCAGGGAAAACCGAACCCTACGACGAATACCAGAGTACGGGATTGAGCGCTCATCAAAATCACAAAAGCTTTGAAAATGGGACACAGGAAAAAAGATGAGGTAAGACATATTTTATCAATACGCAATGTGAGAAGTTTCGTTTGTCATATTAATATCATTAGTCTGTATAGTAGAAGAAATGTTCGATGCAAGGGAAGGTGATATATTCAATATTCGAATAATCGCGTTAATCACTACCTTATTAGATATATTAATATCACCAACCTCTGTAGTAGAAGAGATGATAATCGGTGTGTTTATGTGTGTGTGTGTGTGTAAGACGTGTGAGTTGAATCGAGCATTATGTTACATGAATAATTAAATCCTATACGTAGATATTCCCCCATCTGAGAACACAGGTACGCGTTTGACAAAATGAGCTCTCTGTCAAACAGATGAAAAATGTCGCTGGCGTAGAGATTGTGGTCCATGATTTGTACGAATATCACAACAAGAATGAAGCGAAGGAAGAGTATCGAGCTAATCACGACTTATAAACCCCCACGCGTACTAATCAGTACAACAATGGAATGGGTAACATTACTCCCGCTAAAACTTCAAGGTCCAATTTCCTACTTGCGGTTAATTACAAACACATTATGTCTCTGTTGTCACACCTCACGCACTTCAACCCGAATCGACATTAGTTAGATTTCAAAGAACATTCGCGCGTTGAAGAGAAGTAGTATTGAGTAAATACAAACACTGCTAGTCATGGTAAACGACAAACACCATAGTAAACCAAGTAACGAAGACAAACACATCCCCACATGGTTACCCATCTCTCAGCGAGTGTTGTATAGAATTCGTTGTTCTCAATCGAATGACAAATGTCGAGTGGAGAACCCTACTAACACACAAGATAGCAATCCCCACTTTCGTGTGATGATTAGTTTTTGGACTTTATGAATATTAACGCGTTTAAGAAAGTATTTATTAAAAAAAAAAAAAAAAATAAAGACTACACCGAACGTAAAACAAAATCAAAACCTAAGATATATACGTTCATCATGTTGAATGAAAACTACAAGGAGAAGACACAACAACAATCGGATAAAATATCATCTACGCAAGACGATTCATCCTCAGAAGACGTGGTTTGTGGCATTCAATGAGTTCATAACAATACGCCCCCTACAATACCGCAGAGTATTACATCGACCAGTGCGAAAAAACAAAACAAAAAACATCCCATAAGTGCAGGTAGTGTGGGTTTAAATTGTATAATGAAGACGAGACCGATTATCACCGAAATCAACACGTTCGCTATCTCAATGAAGAAGTTGAATTTGATGTCATTGGAAAGGGACACTGACTGAAAAGTTCAATACACTTATGCGATTCACCATGTCGCGACCTATAGTTATTTCTCTCGACGGCATTATTTCAAGCGGTAAAAGCACTCTTCTACGCAACTACACGGATGATATCAGTCAAGGCACGAATAGAACATTATGTCTGTTCGAACCAGTAGAGACTATTTTTCAACATTTCGGGATTTTTTATATTTGTTTCGGGAAGTGAATGGAATCCATTGGAACAGTTCTACACACACCCTCAACTGAACTCCACTGCATTTCAATTGCACGTACTGGATTCCATCGGTAAAGCATATCGTGAGAATCCCATAGAGGATTATGATGTCGTTTTGATGGAGAAAGGTATCCATTAGGCTAAGGTATTCACCAAAACCCTATACAAAATGCTCAACATGACACCATTCAGTGAGCGTTACGTCTTGAGTAAAGCAGAGGAAGCTAAACTAAACTTTCCACAATGGAACTGTAACTACGTATTCTTTTTGGATACTCCGCTGTCAGTATGGACCAACATGAAAACTCTCACAGATCAAGTTGAAGATCGAAACATTAAGCAATTCGAACTATATCAATATCGCTCACGCGATGAATACTCGGCATTCATACAGGACTTTAAAAGAGAAAAAGGAGACGAATCCTTTAACAATATCAGTGGAAACAAATCTGAACAAATTAAAGGAGCAGCTATCAGAGTGGGTACATACAATACAACACCGCATCGCTCGCGATGAACTGTAGATATACATGGAATCAAGTAGCAGTCGTAGATTATAATAGACGGTGAGGGTGTGTATTCATCTAATGTAAGCGATACTAATACAGGATGTGTAACCATATATTCTACAATAACAACAACATCGTCTGAAGGTAAGAATTCACATTTATTATTATTATTATTTACTTTGTTTTACTTATAAATCACATCCACATACTCACGCGCGAGCACGCACACACACACACACACACACACAATGATATATGAATAATCACTCATCACATAATTATACATGAATAAACATGAATCTAGTATACACACGCACATAATGATTCATGAATAAACACTCATAAGATAATTATACATGAATGTAGACGAATCTAGTTTTCACGCGCGCAACTCTCTCTCTCACTCACACACTCACGCACACACACACACATCCTCTCTCTCCCTCCCTCTCCCACACACACACGTATTATAAACACGACGTTAGGAAAACAGAGCTAGGTAATGCTGGTTGATGTTAATAGTACGTAAGACGCACTGGCGGTACACTTTGTCGAGTAGATCGATGGAGTCTTTGGGGATGGCGGCGTGCTGCACCAGTGCGAGATCGTCTATGCTCAGTGACGAGAGGTGGATCTAGTAGTATTTTATCAACACTTGTCGGGGTTAATTGTACGAATTTTGAAAATACGTCGTTAACGAGTATTTAACTGAGGGTGTGTAAATACAGCCGTCTCCCGGTTTTGATTGTCATCCCTCGGATGCGCATCAATCAACAAATTAGGGATCATCGCGCGCTTGGAGAGAGAACACGGTCAGTCATGGAAATCACTGTTAATTACTAGCAAATTGCTGGTTACTCTGATGTAGCGTCTAATAACGCTCACCCACCTTGCTCGAACTAGAGTAAACCATGGAAGTATAGTTATCACATACACACCCGTAGATTCGTGTTTTTTGACGATACATCTAGAGGCGTTGAAGTGACCACGTGCATTAATTAAAGGTCACATAAACCCTAGGGGGTAAACATACATAAATCACTAACTGGCATCGTTATAAATGAAACCCCGTCATTAAAACTACTCATTTCGACCTTTAATTGACTTAAATCGACCTTTTTGACAACAGTGCACAATTCTCACCCGCGAACGAAATTTCAACCAATCAGAGCGGCGCGACTCTGTGACGTCATATGAGGAATAGCTTTGAGGGCCGATGCAGAATTCATCTACATTTTAGGGGGTAAATTATCTTGTTTACAGGCTTGTATAAACCTGAAATCGTGACAATTGTTGTGGAAAATGAAAGCTATATGTTCTCACAATCTACTGGCATTTAATTTTGTCTCCTGCTTTGCCTAGTTTCAGAGTTACAACTTGTTTCCATAGACGCTTCTGTCACAATTGATTGGTGTCGTTATACTATTTGTATAATGACTGATCCAAATTGATCCCATTTCTGTGTTTTTTTACCTCGATATTTAATCATGTCATGTAAAAATCTGTTTGTATTCTCAAAACAGTGTCGGCCCATAAGTTTTCACATGCAATACAGCAATTAATACTCCCTTGTTGTAACCCGTGTTCGGTGGTATAAACCTACACATGTTATTTGTCATCATTCACTTGATGGTCAGTTAAAGAATTTATAACAGGTATAATTAGTGGTAACACACTTAGATTACCCGACAAAGGTTCCCATTTGGCATTTCTTGTGTCTGGAGTAAATATTCAACATTATAAACATCGATCAAAGGATTAACCGATAACACGCTGATTGATTAATTACTTTTATCTTACACAGCGGAATTGTCAAAAGGTAGTGTTTATGTATGTAGATTTACTAATCTATACTGAATACACTCTGCCGTGTCGGTGTCTGCGTAAAAACAACGTCCTTCTTTCAAAGGATTAACCGGCAATACATTGATTGATTGCCCATTATTGGCTAACTAAATTACTGTTTTTAAAGAAAGGCGGACATTATGCAATTAGTTGCCAGGTGTGCTATCTTGGGTGACCAATGAGACTATACACCAATACCTGAAAAGATTTATCACTTTTTCGTATATTAAACTGTTAAAAGACACATCATTTGGAACAGTTTTGTGGATATTGATGGATACATTCCTCAAACAAGGTAATGGCCTGATATTGTTCCTATAACTTTAATCTGTTTTAATTTTAATATTTGCATTTTGTTTTTATTCATTTGTCGTAGCATTCAACAGAATCATTGTTTTCGCCGTGAAGTGTAATGAGACAGACAACATACACTAGGGTGTGTGTGCGAATTATGATTCACATTGGCAAACTATCAAATGTGTAGATATTACAGTTCTGTTATAAATTCACTATAAGTATCAGCAGATCGTCAGCTTTTTATTTAGTTTCAAAATGCATAAAAGTATGATAATAAACTAATTAGGATTATAAGACCAAATATAAAGACGCACATTGACTAGTATCTACATACTGGTGAGTGGACATTAACCATGTGAATGTAGCAAGAAATTTAGCGCGCAGTATTGTGACTTCGACCCCCACCTCGCTTCCGTGGAAGAAATCGTTATGTTATAACTTGTGTCATGCAAAATCCTTTTGGTTATGATTCCAATACATATTTAACTACGAGTAGAAAGTAGTTTTGATTTTCTAACTTGATGAAAACAAACTGTAATCTCATTAATTCTAACAGACTCTACAATTTTCAAAAATGGCGGCGCCCTGTCGGGAACATCCGCCAGTCTGTGGATAAATGCTATTTAGGTTTGTTTTCACCGAGTTACAAAATCAAAACTACTTTCTACTGGTAGTAAATATGTATTTTATTGATGGCCAATAGGATTTTGCATGATGATAGCGTATAACATAACAATTTCTCTCCTGGCAGCGAGGTGGGTGTCAATATAATACTACTTACAATATTATTGTTACTTCGACCACAACCTCACTTCCGAGGAAGAAATCGTTATGTTACAAGTTGTGTTATGGAAAATCTTTATGGTCATCAATCATATACATATTTTACTATAACTAGTAAGTAGTTTTGATTCTTTAACTTCCGTGAAGCGATCTGAACACAAGTAAGATATCGTTTCAGTCTTCCACAACGCTCGCTTCGCACTCACAAACATAACCCATTTAGCACGAACTGCGGGGTCCTGTGGAAATCTGTGCATGGGGACACCATCACCCGACCCCTAGGAGCAATTGACGACAAAGCAACGATTCGGCATGTCGTCGTTCATGTCGAGAAATCATCAAAATGATGAGCGTGCTACACACTTTCTATACACCTAACTGAAAATCGTTCCTCATATGACGTCACTGCAGTGCTCTGGCGACAGAGTTACGTAACCTGTCTGTGGTTTCGTTGGCGGGCGAGAGGGAAGCAGGCGACTTTTTGGCCACTTTTAATCGCTCGGTATTAATTAACCACAAGTTTTTAAAGAATAAATTTGGTGTTCCGCATAAGATTAACCACAAATCTTTCATATGTAATGGTTAAAAGAGTAACAAAAAACAAAGTTTAGTGGTTCTTTAACTCAAACCCTCGAGAGGACTTGTATTTTTTGACGATACACATCGTTAAACCTCAGTTGTTTATGGAGAAGAGATACCGAGACGTGTAATGAGAAAGGATATTGATCTTTCCCGAATATATCTACATCGTGCGCGAGTAAGTGTATTCGTTATGTTCCTTTCTGTAGACACGTGCAAACACCTACGTCCCATAAGCTCCTCCTTATTGACCCGAAACCGTCCACCCTAGTAACAATTATGTTTTCCTGCACCGCGCATCCCCGTCGCTTATTGTTATTCTCTCTCTCGCGTCCCACCGCTAATTGTTATTCTTTTCATGTGTTTGTATTATGTGTAACGATATAAAAGCTATCCGATTCTCTCTTCAGACCACACAGCCAACCACCCCAACACGCCGCCACCGCCGACATGGACATCTTGAAGAAGAAGAAGACTATCAACACTAGCAGCAATGCCGACGTCGCCGAAGTCGAGAAGAGGGGTGTGAAACGTAAGGCATCCCAAGTAGCTGAATCGAGTTCTTCTTCGAAGAAAACGAAAAAGCGACCAGCGGTGAACTGGAAGAACGAACCCGAATGCTCCTCACAAGATACTGATATCGTGATCTGTGACGACGATGATGATGATGACGATGTCTACGCGCTGAGTAATCTTACTCAAAAACAGAGATCAGAACTCGACGATGACGCTACCAGCGAAACCGAAAGCGATGTTATCCTGTTAAGCGATGACAGCGACGATGACTACGACGGGTTCGGCAACCCAAACGTGTCCTATGTCACTTTAAAGGACACTATCTCCAGAAAGATTTCAATCAAGATCGATGGAGGTATCATCTACATCCAAAAATATACATTTGCATCAGCGAGAAACCTGCGCTTCCCGGAAAATGTAGCGAGAAAGGTAGGTACAACTTAAGATGTAACTTTTCTCTACATTTAATGCGCGCGCGTGCGTGTGTGTGTGTGTGTGTGTGTGTGTGTGTGTGTGTGGGCATGCGTAGGGGGGAAACTTATGATGTAATAATTATATTGTAGCTTTATTTAACGGTATATGAAATGTCACTATTTTCCTATGTTTCGCACGAATGTGTGTGGGGGGGGAGCGTGCTTGACGTATATATCAGTTTATTGCATGAAGGCCAGAGGCCCGTATACAGAATAAATATGTATGATATGTACAACATGTAACACACACACACACACACACACACACACACACGTTACATTGAATCTCTTCTCAATATAAGCGCGTGATAAAATAAATGGAGCTACCTTATATTGTAATAGGAATGCTTTACATGAAAGTATTGAATACAGTTTTGTAGCATTAATATTTGATTTCTAGCCGTTGTGGAAAATACAGTTGCCTTAAATCATTATATGCAGGTCAAAGAAATAGAAAGTGTAATTCATTCTCTACAGTATTACAAAATGGACAGAACCTTTGTGATTTTATAATAGATGAATATCTTCCTTGATTGATGTATAAAACATTTAGGTTAAGTCTCAGGCGCATGAAAACATTACGAAGCTTTTACTACGTAAGTTGTATAGATACGACTCGGGTTCAAGTAAAGATTTAAACTCACGATAACATTCATAACTTGAACTTTTCCTATAAAGATGAATACCAGTCTTGTTTTAAAGTCATCAATAGCCCTGGTACGAAAGAGTTTGATAAATGCATTAACGTCGCCCAGGGTTTGGGATAGCCAAACAAATCCAAAGCCGTATCTAAACAAACGAATACGAATACGGGTTGCCCAAGTATTTTATTAACTTTTTTTTCTCTCCATTTAATGTGTGTGTGCGTAATGCGTGCGTGTGTGTGTGTGTGTGTGCATTGCGCGGGCATGGGTAGGGGAAAACTTAAGATGTATGACATATGTATATATATATATATATTAGCTTTATATTTAACGGTATATGAAACACAAACGCTCGCCGCTCGCAGCAATTGTTCATTTTTATCAGGGCAATTATCTCTTAGGCACGTGTTAAAGGAACATTGGATGATTGCACAAATATTTTTTTTTTTTTTTTTTTTTAATTATTATGTTTCTTTATTTACAGTTGTTTGAGAAGATCGGGGACATCAAACACACGTACAGCGTGGTAGTGAAGCAACACAAATCAGATCACGACGTGAGAGAGGCGGCTCAACTGCTCGTGTCCAGGAAACCGTTCTACCGTTGTACTTTCACCAAGATTGATAACTACTGGTACGCGGATGTTCGTCGCTTTAAGGGACAAGAGGGTACGCTCTACCAAAAAGATAACGGCATATGCTTCCCCGTCGAGGATCTCCTGAAAGTGAACAAATATTTGAAAAGAAAACTAAACATCAAACAGAGAGAGTAGGATGTACGCTAGCAACAATACGAACAGAAAAGATAAACATCGGCGGTGTAGACTTTGTAATCAGCGGGTGAAGGGTCAAGCATTTAACCAACATGTCGTAGATTGTGCCTGTGCGCAAAGACGTTGTTTCGAGTGTAGACTGTGTCAGACTCGATTTGACACGCGCAATCATCTTATTCGTCATATTGACGCGTGTAGTAACCTGCAAACTAATGATAGAGAGGACGGTAATCAACGTACTCCCAGCAACGTTTATTTGTGCGAGTCCTGCGGACTCGTTTGTGACAATGGTGCCGGTCACGAGTGTTCACACGCACGTGAAATGTTATCGGCGGGGAAACGATCCGGTATTACGTACACGTGTCCCAAGTGCGATAAACTCTTCCGGACTCGCACCAAATTCAACGCACATATCAAGAAATGTTGTAGAAGGAGTTTGTATTCGTGCGAATCCTGTGGCAAGATATTCCAAAGCCAACGATCGTTTCACGACCACTCGTCGCAATGTCGCAACAACAATGATCTATCAACGACGTCGTCTTCCGGAGCAACGACTAAGAAGGTAACGTGCCGTCAATGTCACCAACGATTTGAAAGTCGTAAATTATTGTGGCGTCATCAACGTCGAAGCCATTACGGCGCTAATGGCGAACTCTTACAACCCGAGCCATGGCCAGAAGGAGATGCGAGAAGACCGTGGACGGACCAAGTCGACGGAGCTTCGGTGGTGAACGAAACTCTTAAAGACGTATACATCACCCACAGAGATATCATACTGCGTCCGCATAAATATGGCGGAGATAATATTGTGCACACGTTCAATTTCCCATTGACCGAACCCGTCAACACGGACGCAATCGAATTCCGAAATCAGCTGGATTACATTTTCCAGCACGAAGAAAATTCGTTTAAAGTGAACTTATCATTTGGGATGATTTTACGTCACATTGAAACGGGTGAATACAGATACTTTATTCCATACGAGAACACTTTCGTTTTTGACAGACCTCCTTTAATTCATAAGCGTGATTCGCTGAACCGCGTAGTGAAAAGAATTCACAGGAAAAACCTAGACGAGCTCATCTTCCAACAACGTCCGAACACGAAGTGGAAGCCCGTATTCATCACCAATGTCGCATACAGGGTGTACCGTACTAATTACGTTCTCGGCAAGAAAATCCTCTCTCTACCTACATGGTTAAAGAACAAAAGGTGCGTTATGACAGTGGGGGATCATGAAGTGGATTCACTATGTGCTTTTAGATGTCTAGCATATCATCAACTGTATCGTGAAGCGGGAGGGTGTAGATTAAAACAAACACCCAAGAAAAGTACCATTTTAAAGCTATTTCGAACATTTATGCGTGCTAAGGGAAGAAAGGAAATCAGTCCACTATCGTTTAAAGGATTGAACGTCCCGGATGATGTTCCTTTGTTCGAGAGGACTTTTAACGTTCGTGTCAATATATTCAAAATGCAAGACGAAGGTCATTCTTGCGTACCCGTCTATCTGTCGAATAAACAAGGCAATGACAAATCCACTCTGAATATGGACTGTTACGAGAACCACTTGTCCTACATCGTCGATCTCGAAGCCTATGCTAAGCGATTCAAGTGCCGACATTGCGATATGTGCTTCGGCAGGAGGACTTACGCGAGGAATCACGAAAAGAGCGGTTGTTGTCAGAAAAGCGTGCTTAGATTCCCCGGTGGTTACTTTTCGCCGCCGCAGACAATATTTGATCAACTCGAGGAAAGATGCGGTATTTACGTTCCGCTGGATGACAGACTTTATGAATATCACGCTATGTTTGACGGTGAATCTCTCCTGATACGTGAGAGCGTTGATGAGAGCCAAAAAACTTCGTCTACGTCGTGGACGACACGTCATCATCCCGTTTCCATTTCCGTGTGCTCCAACGTTCCCGGTTACAAAGAACCCAAGTGTATTGTCACGGAAGAAACGGAGAGTTTACTCGCTCAGGTCGTGGACTATGTCACGGAGATTGCCACGGAGGCGAAAAGATTAACCGAATTGAAATTACAACCGGCCTTGGTCGAATTGCGGAAGCAAATTGATCATTTACGGGGTAGGAAAAACAACAGCGTTGCACCAAAACGAGGACATGATGATGATGTCGATGGACCATCTCCGAGCACGGTCAATAGACTATCAAAACCGAATGTGTACAGAGACATGTTGCAGGGTCTGCGAGATGACTCAACGGCAGTAAAAATCAACTACAATGAATGGGAAGATATCAACGAAGCGGATGTTCAAGCACGCGCCACCTCGCCCCGCGGGGTGTGGACACCGGGTGATGAATGGACGCTCGAGGGACTGGTTTCTTTGTTACGAAAAGTGACCGACTATTGTAATCAGCTCCCTCTTTTGGGATTCAATAGTTCCAAATACGATTTGAATTTATGGAAGAGCAAATTAGCCAGGGCATTGAACATCATCGATGACGATAATAATTTCATCATCAAGAGAAACAATCAGTACATTAGCATCGTTTCCCAAAGACTGAAAATTTTAGATATCTCGAATTTTATGCCTCCCGGAGTAAGCTATGACCAGTTTCTATTAACGTTCAACGTTTCTCAGTCTAAGGGTTTCTTTTGTTACGAGTACCTCGATAGTTTCGAGAAGCTAGAGGAAACGAAGCTCCCTTCCATAGAGGCGTTTTGGTCTAACCTAAAGGGTATTAATACCCTGGAGGATGTGAATTGGCAAAAATATGTCGACTTCCTGCGCACCGAGACCGCGAAGAATAAGTCAACCCAAGAGATACTATCACATTTGAAATTAAAAAACCGTCCCCAGAAGCGCGGAGGAGAACTATGCTTACATACAAAAAATATGGAATGAGAATTACATGCAAACGCTGAGGGACTTTTTGATTTGGTATAATAATCTAGACGTGTCACCCGGCGTGGAGGCTGTTGACAGACTAAAACGCTTCTATTGGCGTGAGACACGCATAGATATTTTCAAAGATGCCGTGTCAACACCGGGTATCGCGAGACGATTACTGTTCAGGACAGCGCTTAAAGAATGCGCTCACTTTGCCCTATTCGGACCGGGGGGGATAGTGATCTGTGGGAGACGGTGAGACGCGGTATAGTGGGAGGGCCTTCTATTATCTTTTGTCGTTATCACAGCGCTGGTGAGACATTTTTGCGCGGGGATAAGGACAGAGTCTGTCAAAAGTGCATCGGTCTAGATTGCAACGCCTTGTATCTCTACTGTTTGGGACTCGAGATGCCTACTGGTTATTTCGTGCGCTGGTTGCCGGACACGCGGCGTAAAAACAGGTTTTATCGCAAGAAATCTGAAAAGTATACCATGAGCTACGATTGGTTAGATTGGGAAAGTCACCGGAAAGGAATATCGTTGATGCATCGATTGAATTCGGGGCGCGAAAAAAGAATAGGTCCTTTTCTGGTGGATGGGTACGATCCCGTATCTCGAACCTGTTACGAATTTATGGGGTGTTATTTTCACGGTCATTCGTGCGTCGAGCAGAACGAGAAAGCAAAACTCCGATATAACAGAACCGTAGAGAGAACGCGCTACCTCAGGGGGTTTGGGATACGAGATTATTTGCATGTGGGAATGCGATTTCCGTAAGATGTGCGAAACGGATGTTGAACTGCAAGATTTTCTTAAGACGAGACAGTATCCTTTCACGAGTGCTCACGCGAATACCGCCGTAAGCCAGGAGACCCTACTCGATGCCGTGATCACCGGATCCTTGTTCGGATTGGTAGAGGTCGATATTCACGTTCCGGACGAACTGTACGAACATTTTTCTGAAATGGCACCAATATTTGCTACGTGTAAAGTTCCCTTCGCTGAAATGGGAAATCATATGCGCGACTTTGTCAGAGAAAAGAAACTTAGTCAACGCGATCGCACTTTGTTGGTGGGAGGAATGAAAGCGAGCAGAATACTACTAGCCACGCCGTTACTTAGATGGTATTTACAGCAGGGTCTCGTGGTAACCAAAATTTACCACGCGGTCGAATACAAGGGAATGAAATGCTTCAAACCCTTCGTGGAAAAGGTGACCGCGAGTCGCCGTCTAGGTGACTCCGACAAAGATTTCGCTATCATGGGAGAGGTGTGGAAACTGATAGGCAACAGCGCGTACGGTAGTCTTTTGATGGACAAGACGCGTCATACCACGTGTAAGTACGTTCACGGAGAGAACTCGGTCTTGGCTCAGGTCAATAAAAGACATTTTTTTTGTCCTTGTGCGCTTTAGATGACGATGACTTCGAGGTCATATCGCTTAAAAGGTCTATCTCGGTCGATATGCCATCCGTCCTCGGCTACTTCGTGTTACAGTACGCCAAGCTACGCATGTTACAGTTCCATTATGAATTCCTACTGAAATTCCTAGACAAGAGTGCGTTCGAGTTGTTGCAATGCGATACTGATAGCTGTTACTTCGCATTATCGGAAAAGACCCTTCGGCTGGCGATTAAACCCGAAAAACTAACAGAGTATGACAGGATGCTATACGGGTTTTGCGACAAAGACGACATCGAGGCGGACGATAAAATGCATTTTCTACCTCGTGAATGTTGCGTCAAACACGCCATGCGAGACAAGCGCACGCCGGGGCTTTTCAAAGTTGAGAGCGTGGGTGATGAGATGGTATCGCTGAATTCCAAAACGTATGCCCTTCGTCAGAGCGATAATAGTGTGAAATTGAGCTGCAAGGGGGTTGAACAAGAGAAAGGTTCACGACCCAATGAATCTCTATCGCTCTGTCTTGCGCGATGGAATGTCGAGATCGATTGTCAATACCGGTTTCAGAAGTAGAAATAATACCATGTATACATATCAGCAAAGGCGCTCGGGACTGTCTTATTTCTACGCGAAACGAGCAGTGATGTCTGACGGAGTGACGACTCGACCGTTACGTTTGACTTTGAAACCCGTGTCCAGATAATGTTGATCTGTAATCTCACGTGTTGGTCTGGGCAGAAATGTGGATTCATATATATCTATATATCCTTGGTATTGGTGTATATCTATATAAATAAAATACAACTATTATGTACTTCTGTGTTCATGAGTTTTTAATTCGTCAATATAACAACATAGTCACAAAACACCAGTAATTACGTATATTCAAGAGAACTATATATTATATATATATATATATATATTTATCGGATACATAGATAGCGTGAAACAGAATACATACATATACACAAACGGAGAAATAGTGCTACGATTTTCACATCGTCCTATTTACAAACTCTATTCACACGGCGGATTCGTGATACTTGTACACCACCCATATACGCAAACAGAGAAGTAATGCTACGATTTTACGTGAAGCTAATTACAAATTGTATTTTCATAACCTCGATTCACTATCATTGAGAGGTCGAAACAACATAGTCACAAAACACCAGTAATTACGTATATTCAAGAGAACTATATATATATATACATAGATAGCGCGAAACAGAATACATACATATACACAAACAGAGAAGTAATGCTACGATTTTACGTGAAGCTAATTACAAATTGTATTCTCATAACCTCGATTCACTATCATTGAGAGGTCGGTTATGGATAAAATATATATAATCAAGAGAACTATATACGATGGATACATAGATAGCGCAAACAGAATACATACATATACATATACACATATAGTGAAGTAGCGCTACGATTGTACACGGAACTATTTACAAACTGTATTCTCATATTCGATTCGTGATACGTGCGAGGATAGTCACTGATATAATGTCTCCGTTCGGCTCGTGGTGTAGTATTCCTTCAATACCGTATCCACTGTTGATGCCCAACGCTATCGGGGTAGATGGTGCTATGAGTCTTCATTCTTTTCGCTTTTGCGTGGTAATACATAGTCGATTGACATGCGGGGAGTTTGCGTTTTTTTCCCAGTTCGCTGTTGTTCCGTTGTAGTCTCGTCGTATTGACTTGATGGCGTTGAGTTGTCATTGTCGTCGACTCGAACGTTGTTATCCTTCGCTCTTTCCTCGTGCTGATGAACGCATCGCTCATTGAGCGCTCGTTCATATTTCTCCTTCGGAATCAGAACCATCTCCTGTGCCATAGTGCCCGTCTTGTTCTGAAGCCTCGTCTTCGAGTGTAGATTCAGATTTAAGCTTCAATAGATTGATTATTAATGGCAACAAATGTCTGAGTTGTAACAAGAGGCGTTTGGTGATAGAGCGGCCTATTCTCCTGTCGGCGATTTTCCTCAACTGACTTTTCTTGCGTCTGAGCTTCTCCTTAAGATAGGGTGGAATTGGGATGTTTCCGCATAAGATGTTTACACACACTTCGCTCAGTACGTCCATTTGCTCATTGGTCATCAGGTTCAGTATCGACTTCCGCTGTCTGTCCGTCGGCGCATCTTTGATAAAATGCAGAAACGCGCTCGCCGATGATATCGGATGGTTCATGGTGATTATCAGGACGCTTCGTATACCGTCAACACCTCGCCCGGGAATATGTTGGTTCTGAGCTGGTAGCGCGGGTCGCCTCTCGGTGACAGATCTATGATCAAATACCCAAACGGTTTACTCGTTGCCTTTTCATACGCATCTAGAAAAAACTTCACCTTCCCGGGTAGGATCTGTCGTCCAATCGTTGATATTTGAGAGGTATCGCGTCTATTTTTGAACAGTACGATGTAATGTGAATTTAAAGATATGGTCCTGGCGTACTTTCCATACGCGACGGAGGGAAAGAGTGTTTGGCTGAGAAGACACACCGTTATGTCTTTATGATGGCCGAGAGTCGTATAGACTTTACACATTGTCGGGTCACGTGATGCTTGGTCGATCAGATCGTCGGCTATCATTAGCTTATGTTCAGTAGAATTCGCCCATTCGTTTAGACTCTCTTCGCATGGTAATCCTTTGTGGAATTCTAAGAGCGGATGATGTGCATTTTCTCGGGCATTTCTTTCCAATGAGTCGTAGATATCTTGCCACACGGAATAACAATATAGTATTTTCGTTACTTTTCTTTCGAACATGGCGTCAACATTTTCTATCAATCTCTTGGTGAAGGTCGACTTCCCCGCTTGCGTAGCACCGCTAATGAAAATAGTGGTCGGGGCGAGTAGAGGTAAGGTCGTCGACGTCGCTTCAACGTCATCATCTGTAGTACCGCGTACGACGCCTCTGTCTCGCGCGGTACTCGTCATATCGACGTTGTGTTGCACACGGTTTAATGGTAGACACAGTAGTGAGATAATACAGCTAATGTCTCAGTATATATCGGTTTACATAACATTCCTTCTGTCTGTTCATTCTCTCTATCGCACTATGACATTCCTGGTTTTATCGACCTGAAATCCATCCCCGAATTCCGCGTACACGATACACGTGACCGTTTCCGGAAGAGCAGTGGCGAATTGAGCTTCTAGGCGGAGGTTGCCTTGTTTTTGTAGATTTAGATAGGATTGTTCGTGGCTTCGCCCGAAGACGGGTTCCAATGGGAAGACGTATAGGGCGTATCCCCCGTCGAAATCCGTCCTATCTAGATAGACGCTGCTTTGTGAATCGATACCTCCTCCGTCAGCCGTCCAACACCCATTGAACCGGAAGAGATTAGCGAATGCCATCATCATGTTTTGACCTTGCGTTTTGTCGAATTGAAGTTTCATAGGTCCCGATTCTCCAACGTTTCGACCGTCGCAGTAGAGCGCTATCTGAGATAGATCGTAGTTGGCGAAGTTGAAGGGATTTCGACTATAATCTCCAGCTACTGCGTTGGAAGGTACGAAGCCTACGACCACTTTATTGGGTCGCACGCCTTGAAAGATATTATCGTACGTGAACGCCACTTGACCTCTGGGTATGGACATCATTTTCACTTCCGTGCGAGGGTAAAAATACTTAGCCGTTGTCGTAGAAAGAGCGGTGTTGTGTCCGTATATGACACCGGGGTTCACCTCGACTCTCATGATGCGAAGGACGATGTCGTCTATGTGTACCGTGTAATTTTCATCCGGTTTGGTGGCCATCAAGAGAAAGCTCGGAGGGGATCTGTATAGTTTCACTTGCACGTCGA